TGTCCATCGTTACAAAAAGGTATGGAATCGAAGAGTCCGGAGGAGCCCTAGCTAGCTGCTTCAGCACCGACAGCATCCTGGTTGTGCCGACCCGCCTCCTCGGTCCCATCAGCCGTCTCACCCTCACGAGGTGGGGAATCAAGATGAATGACAGAATCGTTCGGCTGGGGCTCAACGTCAGCAGTGACTATGGGAGGTACCACAGTTGACGATTGAGGAGCGGTCAGAGGCAGAGCGGTAGGAGGAGCTGTAATGATCCTTGAGGAAGCAATGTCCTGGCACTCATCAAATATGCGCTCTGCTTCGGTGGGTTCTGGGTCGACATAGACCCCCAGAGGGTCGATCCCTAAATCCTTGTCGACCTCATCTGGAGTGGAGCTGGTCTGTCCCTCATCCGGAACTCGGTCGGAGAAACCTTCTCGGAATCCTTGAGCATATCTAAGAGCACCGACCCTTGAGAACCGAGCATGAAGAGCCAGCATTCCACCGTTCACTCTGCTGATCGCATCAATCAGAGCGGTACGCTCGTCCAGAGCTCTCTTCTCAAAAGCCATCCGAGCAGACTGTTCATCAGCAAGAAGGCGCTGGAGCTCTGCCTTTTCGTCTCTGATTGAATCACGCTCAGTCTGCAAGACGCTCTTTTCAAGCTGGAGGGCATCCTTCTCATCCTGAAGAGAGTCGTTCTCCTTCTTCAGGACATCTCTCTCTTGTTCAGTTTTTTCAAGCTGAGCCAGTACCTCGGTATTCTTGATGGCGAGAAGGTCGTTTTCTTTATTAGCCACCTCCAGGCTATCAGAAAACTTACGAGCCCTGGCGTTCCCCATCTCTACCTGCTTCTGCATAGCCATCATTCCGAACAATGTCTGCATAGATGTACATTAATAACGGTTAATCCAATAGTCAGGTCGGGCGAAGGCAAGACCAAATAATATGAGAGAATTCATGAGTTGGAAAATAAAAGTCACCTCCATAGTAGATTGGGGAAAGCGGCTGAACACATCCTTCTGGGATAGGCCTTTCGCCGCCTCGAGGTCTTTCGGAGTCCACATGCTCCTATAGTACGCCATGGCGATCTGGCCATCCTTCAGCATGGTCTCGTTCGGTTTCACGAACGTCCCATCCGTTCGGGTGTACCGAGGGGCCCATGGTGGTAAGGTGGGGAGAGAAGGGGGGCCTGAAGCAGAAGCAGAGGCACCAGCTGCAATAGGCCCGGAGGGGGCAGGAGCTCTGATCGGGCGATGCAAGAGAGCACCCGGCCCGGAGACCCGGGTCCTTCTTATGAGAGGTTCCTCCTCAGGATCGATTCCACTATCAGGATGAGGCCTTTTGCCTCGTTCTTTGTCCCGAGCGCCCCCCGCGGCAGCAGGGGCTGTGGTAATTTGGGGAGACGCGCTCGGGTTGGCAGCAGGGGTGCTGACAACAGAGTTAATAGCCACCGTGCTCGGGGTAGTGTCAGAGATGGTGGCTGAGGAAGAGGCTGATGCTGGAGAGGAGGTTGCCCCAGCAGCAGGAGTGGCGGGGGGAGTATTTTTCTTCCTGCCAAAAGAAGGAATCTGAAGCCTGCTCATGTTGTAGCCGAGGGATGAGAGCGCTAGGAGGTTGTCTGAAGTGAGGAGGTCTGAGCAGGAAGGAATATCGTTCAGAACGTATTTCTTCAAGTAATTACTCCTATCCCTGCAAACACTGTAGCTCAAGTCATCACAAGGTATTCCTAAGGAACGGCATAAGAAAGTACAAAAACGGGGAACGCATGTTTCGCAGGGGTAATCATGTTTGTGAGATTTGAATTTCTTATATGAGGAAACAGAACAGACACCAAAGGCGCTCGGGATTGGGTAACCTTCCGCAGCCGGCGAAGATCAAGCCCCACTAATGCCCACGATATTATCCCTCCAACCCTTTTCAGATTTTATTGTGTCCGTACATATGGACATCTTCTCGAACGGGTAGAGGTGGTAGAAGGGCTCGTTAGTTCGGATCTTACTGACCTTATAACACAGAAGAAGATCTATGATGTCAAGGTCCAGATTTCTGTCACGCATCAACAGAAGCATAACGGATATGATTCTAAAGAAATTGGGGTTTACCTGCAGGGGGGATATCCCCAGCCTATTGAAGACATAACTAAAGAAAGGGTGCAGAGGGAACCTAACGACATTCAATTGAAGGTTCGTGAATAAGACTTCGCCGGGCAGGAGGCCGGCACCGGTCATAATATTAACATCCTTAGGGCAAACCCTAACTTCGATGTCGTCAGGAAGTCTAAGTCTCATACGAAGAACATCTAGATCTACAACCATGGTGGAAGTGTTTGAAGGATCTAAAAGGGGTAAAAAGAAGCCTGCCGAAAGTAAAAAGGAACAAAACTAACCTCTGAGGTAGAGAGCAACAAAGAGCACTGCAAGATCGCTGGAAGAATGACTCTTGAAGGATTTCACCAGAAAAAGCTTAGCACTGTTCTAAAAAGAGAGAGATTTGACTGATGATGGAGACGGTAAAAAGGCGTGAAGAGGTATTCTAGAACCTTATAAAGGCGAGGGGGACCCGAGGGCCGAAGCGTCAGGAAGGCGAGAAATTCATCGAGCCCCGGAACATTGATTCTGGATCTGACCGTTCGTTCCCCCACGTGGTTTTCTCGAGCCGTCAACGTCATGATGAGACGCCATCAATAATTACCCCCTTATTAAATAAGGGGCAATTATGGGGGCAGTTGAGGAGGCCCAGGATGACATGGGCCGGATATGACTTGCAAACACGACATTCGGTCCGTATAGCTGGGTCGGCCCATAAAAAGACACTGCCATATGGGCCGACCGCGAATAAGCCCATAAAAGGTGACCAGGACTTATGGAGGAAGAGGCCCAGATCCAGAGTCCATCAATATTTGTAAATATCTATAAATAGGAGAAGGAATGAAAAGGGGAGGGGAGATATTTTTTGTTGAAATGTAAGAATTCTAGAGAGAGAAAGAGAGTATGAATTTCTTGCATCTTCATGTATATATTTGTCTATATATATATATATATATATATGGTCCCCTTTGCCTCAATTTCCACTCCCTCAAACAAACAATCCCTAAGGAAGAACAATCTGAATTCTAAAATACAATTTTCAGATTCGAGAAGAAGAGAGATAGCATTTATAATATAATAAATGTTTTACTATCTATTTTTAAACAACAACAAAATATATATAATTGAATAAACAATCCCAATCTATGTGTTTGTGTGTGCACAAAGTTCATGAATGTAATGAAATCTGAGAATAAACAATCCCAACAGAACAAGCACAGTGAATCTCTGTGTTTTAAGCAATAGTTTTAGCTCATATACTTGGTGAGATTTAAACAAGGCATTGTAGAATTCTTACTAAGCTTCTCATTATGAACAAGCATAGTGAAGGGAATGACATAATCAATTTTTAAATTTAGCTCTCTTAAATCTTTGATAAAGATCATCGGTTCCGATAATCATAGAGATGATTTATGAAGAATGATCCAGTTGTATCAACCAATCAAGAAACTAATACGCATACCAAAACTTTAAAAAGATATATATGTGTGTGTGAAGTGTGAACCAAGAATAATTGAATTTTTGTATTTTAATAGAAAGAAGAACATATTCTTTATTGTTTTCTAACAATCGTGATAATTAAAGTTATGGAGAGTGAAATTAGAGGAAAGTTGAGAAGCTCTATGTTAGGGTCTAAACCCTATTTTTATATAGATATTTAATCAAGAATCTCCATATTGGAATTGGAAATCGATAATTTTATATGGAATTCATGGTTTATTATTAGTAAGGAATCAGTGATTAGAAGTAGAAGAATATGTTGGGTTGAAAGCATATAAATGCTCTAAACTTAAAAAAGTTCAGACAATGTTCCAACTTATGTCTTGTGGGTGCTTGGGCTTAACTCATTTTGAGAGCGCCCTAACAAACATACCTTAGATAAGATTGCAGAAATGCCTCACACATATATATATATATTTATTTAGACACTACCTTAGCTAGTTTCCTCTCCAAAATCATGTTTGGATAGAGCATACATTGGGTAATGCGCTTAAATAGTAGCAGCCAATTTTTTTGAAAAAGCTAGTGATTGTTTGGAGTAGATTCACTTTTCTGTCTTAGTGGTATGTTGCTTTTCAAGCTCTGTAGCTTCTTGCAATTGTCACACACTCTGTAGCTTCTTGCAATTGTCACACACACACACACTATATATATACACGCATACAGTTGAAACACCTTTTTGCAATTGTCACTTTCTTCTCAAACATCCAATTTCAGTTCAAATTCCATTGACATGCCCTACACTTGAATATATATATATATATATACACACACACACACACACTAGAATATCAAGAATTTTTGTGGGTTTCTCTAATTATGTGAACATCTTCTCCAAGAACTTCTATTGAACCATTATTTGCTGTTTTTTTTGGAAGGAAAAAAAGAGAGCAAAAGATATAGTGAAAAAGTTGAATGATGTCTTAATCCACAAAAGAATTTGAGATAATTAGCTTGTCTTGATCATGCTGGGTTCGGGAAAATGGTCAGTTAGACACTAACCTGCTAGGTAATTCATTTGGCATGATTCATTGTTTGGAGAAACTTATGGCAATAATATTAATTTAAAAATGGTTGTTTTGTTATGTAATTTCTACTAAATTTATTTACTGAGGTCACTTGTTTTGACTTTGGTATTCTAAGATACAAAACTGACATATTGCTACTTAGAAGATTTTTGTTTAGAGACCAACTAAAGTTGGAATTGTATGAAGGTTAAGACTTGAGACTACTTTAGAAGCCGCAAACCAATAAACCTATTAGTACAATTGATTGGAGACATTTACAATCCTGTTCAGCAAACAAAACCAACAATTCATATCACTGTTAACCTGATCTATTTATTTCTCTAAGTTGATATCACTGCCTAATTCTTTGCTTGTAATTCATTTTATTGCTTGTAATTGTTTGCTTAATGCACAAATAAAGGATGGCATCTCAAATTGCTGATGTTGAGGAGTCAGCTCTGTGGTCTACACAATTAGAGAGATGTTTTGTTGATATAATGGTTGAGGAGGTTAACAAGGGGAACATGCTATCTGGGATATTTACTTCCAAGTATTGGAAAAAGATTGCGGAGGAGTTCAAAAACAAGACTAATCACGCTTACAATGTGAAGCAACTAAAGGCAAAATTTAATCGATTACGTACAAAACATCGTGAGTTTTCAACTCTTCTAAACGTGACAACTGGGTTTGGTTGGGATGCGGAAACAAACACTGTGACTGTTGATGAAGAAACTTGACAAACATATTTGTGGGTAAAATATGTATTTAATTAATTATTTTACAATAGTTAGTTTAATTTTTAAACATGGTTATTACTAACAATCTTTATATATATATATTTTCAGGCTCATTCCAATGCTAAGTGTTTTCGTAAAAAAGATTGTGAAAATTACAAACTTTTGGGAGTTCTTTTTAATATGTCGACTGCTACTGGGCAACTTCACTATGCATCCACTCAAGATCCACCTAATACAGACGAAGAACGAGAGCAGGAGGATTAATTTATGAATACAGGTGTCCATGTTAGTTCAACTACTGAAGGTCAAGATGATTCAGATAATATTCTAGTTGAAGACAATAACCCTCGTCGTCGTAAATCCACATTCTCTGATCGTCGTGCAAAAAAGGTGAGTAAAAAAGATTCCATTAGTGATCCTCTTGCTTGTATTGTTGAAGCTTCCAAAGCAAGGACTGAAGCTTCCAAAGTAAGGACTGAAGCTTCATTAGCTAAGGTGGTGACGTATAAGAAAATGAAACATACTCAAAAGGCAACTAGCCCAGACGCATACTCTCTAAGTAATTGTATTGAATGCCTTGAGGGTCTTGATGAGATAGATAATGACACATATTTGAAGGCAACTGAAAAGTTCAAGGAATTGCACTACAGAGAATTGTTCATTAAGATGAGTATTTCCAGGAAGTTTGCTTGGTTGAAGAGCTTGGAGTGACTTGAAGTTTGCTTGATTGAAGAGCGTGGACTGACTTGGGTGGTTACTGAATGCAGGGTTTAGTTTTTGGTTGCATGTGACTTGAAACACATATTTGGTTTTATGTGTTATTGAACAATTTACTTATGCCTTATTTTTTATTTTATTTTATTTTTTTTTCCCTATGCATGTGACTTTATGTTATATTCATGTGGGGAACAATTTATTATGTTTTATGTTATGAAAACTTTGTTTTGGTGTACTTTATTATGTTTAATTTATAATGTTTCATGTAACTCTTTTATTGTATTTAAATTTAGGAAGAATGTACATGGAGTCCCGTGAAGGGGAAACAAAATACAAGCACCGAACAGAACCTACATTTTGGATTTATGCATAAAAAGGATTGTAATTAAACTTGATATATGTATTTGTGTAACTGTTATTAAATTAAGAATACTAGCTAAAATGAATTTACCTCCAACACTTATTTACATTAATAGTTAATATCATAAATTAAAGAAATAAAAAAATGAGGTACAATAATATTTTTATTTATTTTCTTAGTTCAGAAAATTATTTTCAAAAATTCGTACAACCAAGTAGTTTTTATGAGTTTTTGTTTTTCTGAAATTGTTTTGTAAATTCTCTTAACCAAGCAGGCTTGAAATCTGAAAAAATTAAAAACTGTTCTCTAAAAATTGAAAAAATTGTTTTGGAGAACTGTTCTATGAAATGCAATCCAACCATAGCCTTAAGTGTCTTTATTCAACTGTTAAATGGGCCTCTTTGGCTTGTCTGTTTAGTGCCGTATTGGGCCTGCTCTTTGTAACTTGCAATTTTATCACGTCAATACAATCAATTACCAAAAAAAATAAAAAAAATAAAAAAATGATCATAAAATCAAATTCATTTATATATATATATATATATATATATATATATATTATATATGGAACTTTTGCTCAAATTAAGAAATATTTGAACCCGATTAGATTTTATCCCCATATAATAATCAATGAAGAAAAATGCTCAATTTCATTGAAATTACTTGTATTTTTGATTGAATTAGAATTAAAAAAGAAAAAGAAAAAAAAAGAATTGAATAATCATTCTATAATGAAAATAAAATAAACATCTATGTGCATAAATATACACTACACAATCAAATATACAAATTATTAAATGTTTTATGCATTTGTAATAGATCTACGGTGTGTAGGAGGAGTTTGGTCACTTTGAACATGTCATAATTCACCACCAACAACCCCTCTTCGCATGAGGTAATTGAATTTTTTATTTTTAATTTTTTTGACACTAACACCAAGTGAATTTGTTTGTACCTAATGAAAAATCAGTACTTTTTAATTAATTTCTCCAATTTAATCAAAGTGTTTTTCTTTTTTCGGTAAGCCTATCACACAGATTCATAATATCGTAAGAGAAATAAAGATGATATATAATTGATTGATTTTCAAATATTATTGCTGAAACTATCCAAATATTGCATAGCAAGAGCTAGATACAAATTAAAATCAAAACAAATATACACATGGATACATATAACACACGCAAAAAATATATATATATATGTATCCTTGCATAACAGTATAATCAACCCATCCTCTTCTTTACTGGCTTAAGCTTCAACAAGGGGCAAAACGGTCCATGATGAGAAAAATAGTGGATTCGTCTGACAGTGAATTGTCATGGTTGGCCTGAGTTTGTTGCTCCTCCTTCTCATGATCATGAACAGCAGCAGCAGCAGCTTCTCTTCTTCTTTTGGGTTTTAGGAGCAGAAATGGCCTCCGAGCTTCAACCTTCTCTCTCAGCTTACTTAGCTCACCCATACACATACCCACCATTGTTGACATTTTCTCTCTCTACAATTTCTTTTTTCTCAAACAAGTGTATATAATGAAATATGAATGGAAGAAGAGTATGTATATATAGAGAGAGAAAGGGAGGAGAGAGAAAGAGGAGTTGAATGGTATTAGGAAATCGGTGTGTGGACGCCCGTTGATACAGAGCCTGCGGTATATGTTCAACTTTTTAGGATATTCGAGAACATGAATATCTTCTAGGACCACACCACTCACACGTCTCCAACTTATCATGTGGTGCCTCTTTTATTACCAATATTTTTGACGTGCCATAATATAATCCAACCATATTAAACCATATATAAATGGACCATATTGTCACGGGCTTAGAGTTTCAGCACCACTCTAGCTGCTCCCGTGCGGCACCAAGACGTTGCTTTCACTCTCGCAAGTACTTGGTCAGCCTAACTCCCGTGCACACCTTAGCCAACACACTCCCCTCGTACGCTTACTAGTGTTGTAGTTGCCCTTGCCCTCTCCTCACTTGGCTTGCACACTCACACACACTAAGGCACTTAAGTTGGCAAGGAAAGAACACTTCTATTACTTCAAAGAATGCTTTGTACAAGGCTAACACTCAAGCTCTCTACAAGGCTCTCAAGACTCACTCTAGGACTTGTTGTCCACAAAATGAAGTCCTACCTCTATTTATAGGCATCCCCATCCCCAATGGACGGCTAGGATGCATTTTAACCGATGGTGGAGATCGATTCTCTAGAATCTTCTCCCACCTTCTTCACACTTCCATACTTATCCATAAATATCTACAACATTCTAGAACTCTCCATACTACTCCACACAACTCTGGAGAACTCTAGAACCTTCCACACACTTCTACATATTTCTACACATATCTAGAATCTTCCACACAACTCTAGACTACTCCGGAAGACTCTAGAAACTCCACTTGCCATGCAGTTGCCATACAGCATCCTCCTCAGCGTCTGCCTGTCGCCTGCGTGGCACAACCTCCATAGGCGGGGCGTGACATTCTCCCCCACCCATTTCCGTGACGCCCTCGTCACGGTTTCTTCAGCTGACCCAGCCTCTCGCAGGTCATCAGCACTTGCGCATATGTCCTTAGCCCAAACGTACGAGCGCCCTTCGGGAGATGTGAGGTCCTCACGAGCTCCATCGTGTTGATTGCCACCTCTGGACTCTCCTTCCTGCCCACGAGCGGCACCATGCATGCGGCCTTGTCTTCCTCGCCTCCAAGTATCATCAACGCACCAAGGCATGGTAGTGGCGCGGCGTTGTTCCTATCCATGAACTCCAGCCCCAGCACCATGTCGTGGTCGTCCATCTCCGCAACCTGGAAGTCAGCCTTGCCCTTCCATCCTTGCATGCATAGCTCCACCTCCTTGCACACTCTACTCACGCGTGCCTCCTCGGAGTTAACGGCCTTGATCCAGCCCTCCGTCTTGCGCATCTCCAAGCCAAGTCGTTGCGCCTCCTCCGGGGTAATGAAGTTGTGTGTAGCGCCCGTGTCTACCAACGCTTGCACGGCTTTGCCACCAACCTGCGCATCCACATAGCGCACCCCAGCTACCTTCTTTGCCTTAACCTTCTTCTTGGTGTCATGCGCCATGCTACTCAGCATCTGCATAGCCCCCATGCACCTATCTTCATCGCTGCCCGCATCGTCCACCTTGCCCTTGCCCTTATCCTTCACAAGGGCGCTCATGGCCTTCTTGTTGGGGCAGTGTCGCAATATGTGCGGCCCTTCGCACAAGTAACACTTCGGCTCCCACTTACCCTTATCGCGGCGCTCCCATTTGCCACTAGCCTTGGACCTCTCTCCACGGTCCTTGCCCTTATCATGGCGTGGGCGTCTCTCCTCATCGCTGTGCTCATCATCACTAGACTTGGGCGAGCCACGTTTCTTAAAGCGCTGGTCTCCCCCACCTTTGCCATGGTCCCTCCTGGGAGACATGGCCCTCTTGTCATCGTGCCTAAAGTCTTCAAGGCGCTCCGCTATAGCCATTGCGGATGCCAAGTCTCTAGGCTCCCTCCTTCTCAGCTCTGTGGCTACCCAAGACTGCAACCCATCAATGAACAAGCACACGCGTTGCCGCTCCGGCATCTCTGGGATCTCCAGCATCAAGTTGGAGTACTCCTTCACATACTTCCTTATGCTGCCCTTCTGCTTCAGGCGCCTTAGGTTGATCATGGCGAGGTCCTCAACGCACTCGGGATAGAACTGCCTCTTAAGCTGCCTCTTAAACTCCTCCCATGTGTCAACTGCTCTTGCGCCTCTACCGGTGAAGCGCTGCCTCCACCATAGAGCGGCAGTGTCCGTGAGGTACATAGTGCCTGTCTGCACCTTCTCCTCATCATCCTCGATCTCCATGCACTCGAAGTACCGCTCCATGTGCCAGAAGAAGTTGTCAATTTGGCGCGCATTCCTTGCCCCATCGTACTCCTTGGGCTCCGGCGCCTTCTTCTTCCTTGGCTTCACCACGACCTCGCGCGCCTGTGAGAACTCCTTCTTGCACTCAGCAATCTCCATGCGCAAGTCGTCTACCCGATCATGCAAGTCCCTTTCTTTCTCTTGCGCCTTGTTGGCGATGCCATCAATCAGCTCGTAGAGCTCCGCCATCCTTCTCTCGAGCCTATTAAACTTAGTCTCCGTGTAGACCAAGTGTGTGGCAAGCTTCTCCTCTAAGCTCTGCTCTAAGATGTGGACTTGGTGGTCTCCTCCGCTAGCCATGTCTACTCCAACAAAGCTCCCTTGACGAACCTGCTCTGATACCAACTGTCACGGGCTTAGAGTTTCAGCACCACTCTAGCTGCTCCCGTGCGGCACCAAGACGTTGCTTTCACTCTCGCAAGTACTTGGTCAGCCTAACTCCCGTGCACACCTTAGCCAACACACTCCCCTCGTGCGCTTACTAGTGTTGTAGTTGCCCTTGCCCTCTCCTCACTTGGCTTGCACACTCACACACACTAAGGCACTTAAGTTGGCAAGGAAAGAACACTTCTATTACTTCAAAGAATGCTTTGTACAAGGCTAACACTCAAGCTCTCTACAAGGCTCTCAAGACTCACTCTAGGACTTGTTGTCCACAAAATGAAGTCCTACCTCTATTTATAGGCATCCCCATCCCCAATGGACGGCTAGGATGCATTTTAACCGATGGTGGAGATCGATTCTCTAGAATCTTCTCCCACCTTCTTCACACTTCCATACTTATCCATAAATATCTACAACATTCTAGAACTCTCCATACTACTCCACACAACTCTGGAGAACTCTAGAACCTTCCACACACTTCTACATATTTCTACACATATCTAGAATCTTCCACACAACTCTAGACTACTCCGGAAGACTCTAGAAACTCCACTTGCCATGCAGTTGCCATACAGCATCCTCCTCAGCGTCTGCCTGTCGCCTGCGTGGCACAACCTCCATAGGCGGGGCGTGACAATATGCTCTTATTTTTTTATTTTTTAAAATAAATCCACATCCCCTCCGATTACATCATAGTACAATATATATATATATATATATATATATATATATATATATATATATGAAAAAATTATTATGTAAAAGATGTGAATTGTTACATAAATAATATAAATGAGAAGAAAAAGATAGACTAATTAAATTAAATTATTTTGCACTTTTTACTTATATCTAACTTATGTCCATATCAAACACAAATACCCAAGATTATGACACTCAGCGGAGTGATGTTATTGTATTGTTAATAGGGGTGGGACTTGGGCGGCTAGGGTTAGCCTGCACCGAATTCAAGGTAAAAATGCCTTAACTCGTGCAAAGTCTAATTCCCAAGAAACCAATTAGTTTAATGAATTTTTCGTGTCATTCCAAATTTTAGTAACCTACTAACAAAAAAAATTAAAATGTTATATTCACCGGCTTAAACCATTTGAAGGTGTGACAAAAAAGAATTATAACCTTATATGTCAAATTCATGATTAATGATATTATAAATAATTTAATTTTAAATATAAAAATTATAAATTATTCTTATATTTGGATTCCTTGGACTACTAAAACATTTGCCAAATTCCGCCTAACATAAATTTGTACTCTAAATTTTAAATGCAGTCTATTTCACGGTCCCAAGTATCTTACATATTCCTGTAAAATTTTCGGACGAAAATCGAATCGCTTAAGAAGGTGATCCCACCGTTTGTTTTGAAACAGCAGCGAGTTAACGGTTTTACGTGAATAAGATAATTAAAAATTGAATACCCCTTGTTTTCTTCAGATCCGACAATATGTTTGATATGTCACTTCTGCTGGGATTTTTTTGAGCCACTTGTGATGTGTTCTTTTAGATCTTTTATAAATATCAAAAAAGTGTATATATAAATATCAAGCTGGTAGGGCCAGGTACGCCTTCAATTAGTATCTGTGTGCCCTTGTTATTGGTATCTGTGTGCCCTTGTTATGAACATAGGAAAATATCTACAACCCGTAAATATAATCCTAATTTATTTTTAGGTTTTTCGCTGGTACATTATGGGATTACTACAAGTTTTCCTATATGAAGTGTTTACTTAGATTCAAACCCAACCTGCTAATCTGGGAGCTGGGAAGATTTGCACAAGCACAATCAAATCTCTTAACCCTATTCTGATTTCACAAAATCAGCTGTCTCCAACATTACACTGTTGAGTATTATAAATTTTCAGTTACTATAAAAATCCCCAAAGAATTGGACAATCTAGTGAAACTCAACAAGTAAAGACAGTTCAAATACAAGAGTTCTATGTATTCTTTTTGGGACATAACACGGGACACAGAGTTCGGAAATGTTGATAACTTGGGACAATATAAAGATGGAAATATAGTAGTGCCTGCAAACAGTCATCATACCTAGTGGATTCGAATACAACATTCGATGAAATTGAAGTACAAATCCGTCCTTTAAGATTTACAGAATTTTATTATCGAGGGCAACTACCTATCATCATCATTATCATCCTTTGCCTTAATCCCATATGAATGGGGTCGGCCACAACTAGTATTAGAACGCAAAAGAAGAAGAAATGAAGGAGAAACCACTCTGTTCATGTAGATGGTAATATTCCTGATGCTCAAGGGATATCAGTCCATTGACATGCAGAGCAACAAGAGAGAGTGTGACGGATCGATCATGAATTTTGCCAATGTAATGGTCCAGTTAGGGAGGTGTGAAGGACCCCAATCCTCTTGAAAAGCACGTCGCGTCGCATGTAGTTTTACTTGCCTCGTTCAGAAAAAGGGATATGAAGTCATGATTTCTGAAGCCACCAGCAAAACGAATGCCTCCCATGCAGCAGACAATGCGAAACCAGTGAAAGAGGAGCAAGGACTTGCAACAGCTCTGGAATGGTCCAGCCTAAAGCCTCGAGAGAGTTGGATATCCCTTTACCTCATCAGCCATATGATACTCCAAGGCAATGTTTCAACTCAGATTGAAGTGTGGACCGTGTCAAAATACACATTCTTTCAGAGGAACCCTTTACATGGATGAAGGGTGGGACCTTTTAAAGAGGCTCATGGGATCCTGTGAAAAATCTGTCACCAAACTGGCAGGGGTTCATCTTTCCTGAGGAGAACATAAGATTGTGAGGCCAAGAGATATGGCATGCTAGGGCAATAACTGCAGTGGCTTACTCTCCAGGTACTTGAAAGTTTCCAAACGCAAGGAAGGCTGTCCCGTGGTAAAAGGAGAATCATAATACCCCAGATACGCCTGAGACTGTTCCTTGAAATATTATCTTGCGATAAGCATTTTGCATATAAACGAACAGGCTTCAAAAGCTTAAATCCAAGGTGTCCAACCTTCGTACATATTGCAAAGATTATCCACACTGGTTGCTTGCTTAAGTAGATAATCCACTTGCTCTCCAATACTCATTGCTCTGGAAGAGTGAAATCACAATTCAGCACTAACACCGATTTCACTGAAATAGAAATAAAAATTTAAAGAATGTACCTGTTATCAGCAATATCTCGGCCATCCAGTTTCATCTCAACTCGCCGTAGAACTGACATTGCATAAGCATTTCTACCTGCAGATAACCAAGAATTACAAAGACAAGAGATGCTAGGTCCCCACAATTAGCAAACAAGAGTACCTCACCGCACTGTCACAGAATCATCACACACCCTCAGCAGATTAAAAACAACAAAGACATTCAACACATGAATTCAAATGTTAAAACAACAATATATTTGCAAGTGTAGACATTTTACTTTCTACCAGTAAGAGAGAGCTAAATCTGACACTGCAACATAAACACAGGCATATATGGATTTGGTTCTGTTAAGGTATGAAGATGTCAAAGCATGTCAAGATGTAAAAGAATAACTGATTGCAACTCATCAACCAATTGATTTAGTGTGTCTTTGCCTTACCTAAAATAAGTTCTACTCAAGCTCCCCGTACAATTAAATAATTTATAGGGTTCACTATGAAACATAAATTATCAGCTCTGTAGCAAAAAAATTTATGTAGAAGGCAAAGACCGGGATGAGAAATATTGAGTATGAAAATGTCAAAGCATGTCCAGATGTACAAAGAATAACCAATTGCATCTCATCAACCAATTTATCTAGTTCATAACTATGTATTTGCCTTATTTAAAACAAGTTCTTCTTAAGCTCTCAGTGCAATTAATAGTTTATACTCCTTTGGACCCAAAATAAAAGTCTGCCATTCGCGACTCCAACTTTTCAAGGGAACATACATTTAATCATTTTCCCCTTGAAAATTACAAAACTAACCCAGCCAAGTATAAAATTTACTATATTGATTTGACTAAAGTTTTCAAAACCTAAGAACAATTTAAGAAAGTAAACATTTATTTGGGACAGTCCAAAAAAGAAAGCATAACATTTATTTTGGAACAGGTGGAGTAGAATTTTTAAATACACTATGAAACATAAATTACCAGCCTTGTAGCACTTTTAAAATAAATTTATGTTTTATAGTGTATTTAAATATTCTACAAAGCTGATGATAGAAGCAAGACAAGGATCCCCCAACAGTAAAAATGGAGGAGGCTGGCCTCCCCAAGCAGACTGGGATAGACATAGAGGGGATGAGCTAAGAAGCACAGAAATGAATACGGGACACGACATGGATACGGTGACACAGCAAATCCTAAAAAATTAGGACACGGACACGGCGGGGACACGGCAAATAAGAAATATATTTTCTATATATATAATGTTGTACTTTAAGAAATTAAGAGTAATATTATTTTTTACAATCCATAATGAAAAAAATAAAAAAAAATGTGTTTTGCTGGAGAAAAGAAGGAATGATAATAATAATAATAATAATAATAAAGAGACAAAGAGGATTAGGGTGTTATTAGAAAAAGGAATTAGGCCTTAGTTAAAAATAAAGGTAAGAATCCATAGACAAGAAAAAAAGTTCATGTGGAATAGAGGAAAAAGGAAAAAGAGACAAAAAGAAGTATTTAGGGTTAGTGAAGAACAAGAAAAAGAAAGAAAAGAGGATGAAGAATAAGAGAGAAACGACGAGAAAGAGTAGAGAGAGAGAGAGAGACCATTCACTGGTAGCGAAGCTTGGTTGGTGGGACAACAAGAGAGTCAAAGATGATCAGGGTTCGAACCTTTGAACTAAAATATAAGAATAAATATCCAATTGTTTGAATATAAAATCGTTTTATGAACAAGAAGTTTGTAAATAATTATGTAATTAAACAACTCTTAATATTTACACTTAAACTCAACATTGTTTCTAAAACTTTCTTAAAAATACCCAAAGAGTGGGACACGCGTGTTGGACATCCATGGCATGTCAGAAAGAAGTGTCTCGGATATTCGAAAAAATATAAAATATTCGGACATGTATTTTGGCATGTCTGACACATGTCGGGGTGTGTCCAGCGTGTATCAGTGTCCGACATGGATTCTTTGCCCTTTTAGGCGTGTCCGTGCTTCCTAGGGGACGAGGCTAGCAAAAGGGCAAAATAAATAAAGATAAGAGGTATTGTAAAAGAGACATTTATCCTCACCCCTGGTTTTTCGACTTCCAGCATCGGTAGCAGGATGAGGAGTTTCACGATTTTCATCTTCAACATTGACTTTGGTTAGTGAGGATGTTTCGTCCTTGTGCCCAAAATTCACCTGAGTGTTTTTGTGGTTCAATGAATGTGAAGCCTCAACAAGTATAGAAGATTTATCATGTGGTGATACCAGAACTTTCAGATGTTCATCTACATAACCAATATCAGTATTATTGACCTCCATGGATTCTGATGGCTCATGACACAAAGTTTCTTGGGAATCAGCTCCAGATAACAGAGCAGAGTTCAAACAATCATTGATCTCCCTGCTATTAGAACATTGTGGAAGCTGTTCCATCAATTCTGGGCCACTAGAGCTATCTGCAAGACTTGCTTCAGCAGATGTGTCACCAGACTCTGAGCTGCTACTGCAGATGCTATCTGGAGGTGATATCCACCCTTTATCTTGTAAAGACAGTCCAGACATGCCAAGAAAATCCTCGTTACTTTCACCATCGGATTTGGAGAAAATCTCCCTCTCCTTATTATCATACAAATCATCATCACATGGAAGGTCTGGCCTTGACAAATTAATGTCCTGTGACCTGACTTCCTGGCTTTCTCCTAGTCCTTCAAGAGCCTATAAAGAAAGATAATATTAAATTTAGTAATCTTTATATCATCAGAAAGTATATATCAGAAGTATTTAACCGACAGAATTTTCTCAGAAGGAAGACATTACTTTATGAAGATTTCCAGCATGTAGACTCGCAGTTCTTGCTAGTCTGGTCAACATGGAATGGAGTGCCTTCACAGAGAATGTAAGCGATGGTACCAATGGCTCAAAGGCCTGACAAGCCTCCTTAATTCTTAAATAATAAGACTGGTATATGGCTTGTCCATGAATCGGAGATATTTCCTTCTTGTTCTCTCCTTCGCTGGTCATAGCATCAGTCATAGCAGCAACATCCTTAGACAGTACAGATTCAAGTGGAAGCAGGATTGCATTTGCCTGTCGAGAAATTAAAAGAATCTCGTATTTAAATCAGCCACTAAGCAGACTAATTTAAGCAATCTCACGAAGAAAAATATTACAAAGGGAGTTACCACATATTCAGACACAACATATTATTTAAGGGAAATATATAAATAAAAACCAGAAATCATGATTGCGAGAGGAAAACCTTAGAAAGATCTTCCATAAGAGAACGATGTATTACAGCAGCCTCCTTCCCCAAACTGTGAACATCATGTAGACCTTCAGTTATTGCCAGGACCTAAAGAGAAGCAAGAGGATGTTAGCCCCAATTACAAGCGCACTCATCGTATATCCAGCCTGCACTGGGTGCTGTTAGCTACAATCAATACTGAAAAAGAAAAATCATAATTTGCTCAAGTTACAACTTGTAAGAGACACTGTCGGATCAAGGATAAAAAGAGAGATAACTAAAGAAGACAACATTTGATAGTGGCTCATACATGGTATCTCTAATTAGTCACGTTACAGATTCCTTCTTTTTTTTTTTTTAACTTGGAAACCAGTAACTTGGGAATTTATCTGTTGCTTAATGGTTCTCAAAAAATATTAACTATGCAACAAACCACAGTACATGTAACAAAACAAAACATCCAAACATAATTAATTCCAGTTTTCAGGTTCACTTTTAGCCGGTCCATGTTAAAAAATGAACATATAAATTCAGTGTTTTTTTTTAAAAAAAATTATTTATTATGGAGTACTTTTTATTTTTAACTTGGTTAGTTACTTTAGAAGGATCCATTGTTTGGTGATGTGGTAACAACTCAAACAGTGAGAACCTGGGTTCGAGTACATCGGCAGCTGCTTTATGCAAATAATGTCAAAGTTTGCTCAGTATTCAGTCCACCCCTCCCAACACCCTCGATTAAATGAAACCACACTAGGTAATGGTCTTTAACTTACTCTATCAAATGTTCTATTGTTATCTGTGGTGACTAACGCAAAGAAGGAAACTGAGACTGCATGCAGGAACGGACCCCTATGTGAGGCCCCCACTGGAATTTTAAAATTTCTTACTTTTACCTAAAAAATCTTGGGTAATTAATATAAGTGCCCCCGTAACTTTATTCGTTGCCCCCACTGGAATTTTAAAATTCCTATTTTACCTAGAAAATCATGGGCAATTATATAAGTGCCCCCATAACTTTATCCTCTACCCCCATTGATTTTTTTACTTCTCATTCACGCCTTCATTATTGTTTAAAATTGCCCCCACTAAAACAAGTTTCTTGGTCTGTCACTGACTGCACGTGTCTACACAATGGAAACCGAGTGAATCCAGATTCTAACACTAAGGGCTATAACCCAATGTTATCTCTTATACCTCCCAAAGCGGAAGGTGAGGGTTCAAGTCCCCTTAGGGACAAATGGGTGTGTGAGTTTCTTGCCAAGGGAAAAAAAATAATAATAATAAATTCCAGGTTCTACATAACTTTGTCAAATCACATATTTGAAATGAAAAACAATTATAAATGATTATTTTCTCTTTTGCTATTATTGAAAATTAAATTATCAATGATTCTTGAATAACACAATTTGTAACATGACAGGAATATTAGAAAAGACTCCCTCCATCCCACAACAAGCGTTCCTTATGGCCTATGGGGACTCCTAATTTCTGATGACTGCCTTTGAAATTTCAAAAACTCACCCTCTACTAACTCAAAATTATACACTGCTAATTTAGCCATGTATATTTGTTGTAGAAAAGCATAACATATTTGAAAGGTGCATTGGTAGTGTACCAGGTTGCATGTAAGATTCACATATATTATGAAATTCACAAGATAAACTAATTTTGAGAGCAATATGGCATTACATGTAAAATTCACATATATGTGTAAATTTTACAAGATATTGCTAATAACCATCAGTCCTAGGGCTGAAGGGATTTATCATATTATGAGTTTTATCTAATCTGTAAATCGATGTTCCATAAGGGGAGATGCCTCCTACCTGTGTAGATGTGTTTGAAGTGGACAATATCTATAGTGTGGGGCGGTCCTAACAAATTGTTATTGACTTCGAGGAATATGCTTCATTTCTTACCCCATATAAAAATATGTGAAAAGCTTAAAACAATTATAAAGACCCAATGATCAAGGCATATTACTAGTTTAGGAGAAATCCGGAAGCTATAGCATTTATGTTAGACATTATTGAATTAAGGAAAATTGAGCCACCAAGGACAAACTTCCCAAATGTCACTATCCACTACCAATCCCCAAGCGACCTGTATTTTATCTCCTCATGCTAATGTAAACATATTTAAGGCAACATTGGTGAGCTGGGATCTGCCATTTTATTTAGGGTAAAGTGCCAAAAAAAAAAACCTGAATTATTGCCCTTTTGCAAATAACACCCCTGAACTACAAATTACCCCCTTGAACTAATGATGTGTTGCAAGTAAAGACAAACCCATCACAAAAGACTATTTTACCCTTTTGTCATTAAATTTGTCATTTCTTATTAAATTAATTTTATTATATTTTCTCTTATCTAAATATTAATCATACCATTTACCTTAATTTTACTATTAGTATCAATTTATCACAAAAATGGAAAAATAAATAAATAGAGTTGTATCTAACATTTTCTAAAATGATTTAACTTATTATTAAAACTTTACTATCTATAATAAAACTTATTAAACTCTGCTTAAACTTTTTAACTATACCATCTTTTTCATACAATATATTCATGAAAAATTAAAAAAATACTTGAATAAAAAATACCTTCTTTTTCATGCAATATATTCATGAAAATTTGAGAAACTAGTTAAAGATTTTTATTTAAACAATTAATTTGAAGAATTAAAGGTATATTTATGCAAATTTAATCTCCCCTAAATGAGTTTATGCATTCATTAAAAGCTCCTTCAGTGGATCTATTCATTCACAAAAGATATTCCGATAAACATAAGTTCACACAACATGCTTATTAAACAGCTCAGAATTGTATGACAGGCAGCACATTATAATTTGAACACTCGCTGTTTATCAATCGGGGTTAATTGTGCTGGCCTAATTTGAACTCTAGCACAGTTAGACCTGCAATCCACACCCACTTTCAGTTGCTTGTGGGGTTCGCATCGTGTTGGCGTGCCATGTCAAGAATTTTGCTGCTATAACAACTGAGTAATTACACAACAATAACATCCACTTCCAAATTGATATAGCTATACAGACACTCAAAAATCTGATTTCAATATGAAAATATCTGCACATCCTTTACCGCTAAATGACCCCAATGTCTTTTTTCCTTACTATTGAAAGTGAATATTCATCATCTAAACACCAGCTGTCTAGATCGAGTGGCATCTCCTACCACCCATAAGGGGGAGATTCAAGTCTTAGTTAAAACACGTCTGCATTTTGTATTTATTAAAAAAAATAAAATTTATATTGATCATCTAGAATGGAGCTATTCAAGAAGGAAGATAACATTAGAATTGATGCCCTGGGAATTTTTTTAAATTTTCTTGAAATGACAATGCTTCAATTTTATCATCGTCCATAACATGTTTGCCTTTATCTTGAAATGTCGTGTAAAATGCAATATATGAGAGATAGCTGCCATGGGGATCCAAATGAACCCATAAGTAAAATTTTATAAATTGTGAAATCAGAGTGTAAATCATAGATCTGGATAAATGAACCCATATGAAATTTTTTCTAAATCATGAAATCAGAGTGTAAATCATAGATCTGGATGGTTTGAAGGATGGTAACCACACGACAAGATATAAACCAACCACGTTAGTAAAACTTGAAAATCCCTCTTGCAAGAATAATCAAATTATCTTGTCGGATTTCAGAAAAAGTATACCTCTTCAAGCATGGAACCACATTCAGATGTCAAAGTAGTGTGGCCCCTTGTAATACGCACAAAAGCAGACAACGCTATGCTGGCTTCATAAGCACAATCTTTCATAGCAACAAGAGTGCTTTGTAAATCACCTGCAAATGACAAAAATCATCTCTTAATTGATGTAAATATCAAAAGCATACTTGGAACACTGACGTAAACCTATAAGGCTATACTACCCTTAATATAAAGATAATTTGTGGGGAAAGTGACACCCACTTTCCTACAATTGCCCCGTTAGAAACTTCAAATAACTACAATGCTATCAAACCAAAGAAAATAAAGGGAAAAAGTGAATGATGAAACTTGGTCGGCAGATCTTCTGGGAAATGCTATTTCTGCCATCATCCCCTACTCATGGGCCCCAAGCTCCCATCATAGCACTGCCTCCCACAGCTTCCTCTACCTACTTAAAATACTACAGCTGCTTCCAATTATTGCCACCATCATGTTTGAGCAATATAAGCATAGCAACCATTTTGATTCATGGATTTCCTATTGGGATTTTCTTTCAATCAACAAGTTGGAAATGCCTTGAAAAATATTTATAAGATGTGTTACCAATATTTCTAAAGATTCCGTGTTGGATGAAATGCCTGAAAAAGTGCGAAATACCTGAATTTGATGCAGTCACCAGAATTTAACGACATCATTGCAAATGTGAATATATCATGTCAACCATAACATAATCATACACTAGTCTTCAATTCTATGATAGGTTGACAATGTCTCACTTAACCTAATCCCTTTAAAACAGTTCTACTTATTTACTCAATCCATATCACAACGTTAAATTAATTTATATCAGTAGTTCGAAGTTTGAAGCCATTCATGTGTGCAAATTTTTGTAAATATAAAAGCCAATCAAGAAAAGACATGACCTGATGCTGAGTTTGCATTAACTGAAGCAATGCAGAGTTCATTAGATGCAGAAAATAAGCCAGTGGAAGCAACTTCCATGTTGCTTTCTGCAAGCTTCCATTCTTGCTCAGTACCTGATACAAAGAACACAACATGCATTCATGACCCACATTGAAGGGAAATAAACAATAGAAATGATTGACCTGGCCTAGTTCAGCAACAGGTAAAAATTGAAACTTACGTGTAAAAGAATGATAAGAAACATCTAATCTTGTTAATGCATTTAAGTAAGTTTGCTGCCACGTCCTGCGATCAGCACTAGTCCTAAATGGATGGAGATCTCCAGAAGTCCGGAAAATGCCATCTCTTGATGCTTCAAACTCCATTATTGACATGCAAATATTGATGATATCTGATGCCTTTTCTCGTGCTTCCTGTAACAATTGTCGTCGCCTCATCAGATGATCATGGAATTCTGGAGGTATTCCTGAATTCTTTGCAGACGTACTTCCAATAACACCAGAATTTGGACCACCGCAGGCCCACCCCATGGCTCTCTCGAGCTGCCCTTCTGCTGTAATAGAAGTTTGTTCACAAGCTTGTAGGCATTCCAATGACCGACCTATTTTTGACACAGAAGATTGTATACTTTCCAACAATTTAGGCCTGCTAAGGTTTAGAATAACTGGAAATAAGTTATCATCACTTGAAAGAAACTTATGAGATATGAGCCTGCTATTGTGCAATGGGTTCAAAGTAATATCATGCATCCATTCCATCTGAATTATCTCTAGGATGCTCTTACGAAGAGCCTCTTTAAGTTCAATCACCTGTCTTTTCATGAGGGAAGCTGCTGACCTCGCTGCTCTGACAGTTTCATGTGCATCGCAGTACTCCTCAAGCATAGTTTGCACTCCGTTCACAGCCCCAAAATCTTTCTTCACTTTATCCAAATCAAGTTCCTTTGACTCCTCCGTAAGTTGCCTCAAAAGTTCATTTTCTTTCTCTAATCTAGCCAATAGAATAGGAACAACTCGCTCTCTCAAGTATTGCCCAATATGTTCTTGAAGTTGGATTTCGAGTTTTTTCTTCACAACATTGACAAGCTGGTCAAATCCTAAATTTTGATCCACAGATGATGCAACATCATGTATGCAGGAATCAAGAAAAGAATCCACAACAGCAACTTTCCAGATGAAGAAAGAATGGTTCTTCAGTAAGCCAGGAAACTTCCAGATACATTCAGATATTGGGCAACCAGAACTCATCAAATCCACAAAATTAGAAGCCCCGACCGAGCAGAAGGCAACAGGTCCACCAAGTGAAGACAATGTTTTATCAATTGATTCCAACTCAGAGAAGGGCTCAATTAGTGCTTCCAGAAAAGCTTTCCTTCTGAAGACATGTGGTTCCCTTTCATGTTCAGCACTAACTAGAGATTGAAAATGGTTTACAGATGATGCCAAAGCACTTATAATACTGGCTTCTCTCTTCATCAGAGAAGAAGTTCGCATGTCCTTCTGGTTCCATGTTTGATGGAGCTTGTCCAGCTGTGCTCTGCAAGCTTCTTCTTGGGAGGCAAGTTCCTCAGCCTCTTCCCAAGAAAGATTATCCCTACCCTTCACAGCAGCTTCTTCAAGAGCTAACTGCTGCTCAGTTATGAGTCCGACCTTTACAAAGTAATTCTGTTCCAGTTCCACCAAAGATTCCCTCTCTAGTTCAACCTCAACAAGCTGCTCCACTACTGTATCAATGGATCCCCTGATCTGTGACAGAGATCCAAATGAATCCATAACTTCTGAATTGAATGAAACAACAGATCTAAGCACATCCGGTACAACAACTTCAATCATTTGTCCAACCAAGCTCTTACAAGAAAGTAAACTGGTTTTGAAGATGGAAGCCCAGTTTCTTTGGGAAGAATAATCAAAATGATCTATATCTGTATTAACACTAGGTATATTCCTATCAATATATATCCACAGTTCATTAACAAACCCTGCTACTAGTATGCACTTCTCTATTTGCTCTTCAAACTCACAGAAGAAAGCTCCAAGATTGGAATGTAGTCTATTGTCCATATTCCTCCCCCTAGTGCAATGACTCAATATGCCAAGCAATCTATGCTTAACCTCGTTATACAGAGAGCTTACAGCAGTAGATAGAACATTAAAAACCTTTTCTTTCTTCTCTTCAAGCTCACCTTGCAATCTAGCATCTTTTGTCTCATTGTGCTTCAACAGTTCTACATGCATGGAAGACATGGAATCTTCTTTCCTTGCAAGGGCAGCAGATTGCATGTACATCGTGAAAGCAGATAGAAGCTGATCCTTCGCTCTTGCTTCAGTCTCTGAGCCAATTGAGTTAACCAGTCCGGCACATTCTTCTTCAACTTTCTCTATCTCGGCCGCATACTTCTCCACTTTAAGACACAGATCATCATAACTACTCTTCAGAGAATCAAATCCATCATTGTGGACCTTCCCAACAAGCTCAGTAGCTTGTCTTCTGACAAGTGATAGGATATCAGAGGAAAGGCTATTCACTGAAAGTTGGAGAACTTGTGACCATCCGTGAACTGGACTGGTTGTAAGGTAATTTAAGGGTAGAATTCTTTGCAAAGACAAAGAATATGCTTGGAGTGCTGTTACTGCAGAAGAAATTCCATGATCCAACTCAGCTATGAGCTGAGAAACTTCTCTATCTATATCATGGCTTTGAACTTGTGTGGGCTCAGGAACTATAGTCAGTGGAACCCCAGCCACAAGTACAGCAGATGTAAGAGACAAAACTTCTTCCATACCAGTCAGCTTTATGTAGGATTTAATTTCTGCAATCAAATTGCTTCGTAAAGCATCAAGTACCCTTCCATGTTGCTCCATCCACGCTGTTGCCTCTTGGGCCTTTTCAGCTACCAAAGACTTTGCCTGAGCAAATTCTTGAGCCTGTATTTCAAATAAGGCACGGGTTTTCTCCAAATTACAGGTTGCTTCAGCAACAATTGACTTTGCAGATGTCTCGTGCATAATAAGATTAGACCTCTCCTGGTCAGCGCGGTAAAAAAGAGCAGAGACAAGCTCATATCGATTTAGGATGTTTGTGAACCTCTGGTACATGAATTCTCAGAGTTAAAGCAAGTTCCAATCAATGACATAAAAGTAGCAAGGAAAAGATGTAGGCATTATTTCTGCATACCTCGAGAGCGGTTTCAACTGCCGGTAAGGTAGCCAGCAAAAGATCATGATGTTCCTGGTCAGATTTGAAAAAATAAGCACCATTTCTAGATTCAAGTAACTTCCAACTAAATAAAATAAGTATCAACTAATTTTTTTTTAATTGTTAAAATATGAAATTCCAAATAAATGTAATAATTCAAACTTTTGCATAATAAATGAAAACTGTACTGCAACCAATCACTAAAATATCACACCAGAGAGAAAACCTCAAGACCGTGCGAATCCTACAAAAAATACTAGCACCAGAATTACACCAAAAGGCTTGATTATCTTTGGATGGGGATTTAGGGGTCGGCAGGGATGGGGAAGAAAGCATATTAAGCCAAAATATTGTAGAACATGAAGTACCTGCAATGGAACGCGAATTTCTTGCACCCGGGATGCAAATAGACTCAAGCTAACTGCTAGCTCCATGCCTTTCCTTTCTTCACCAACGATTGCCGCATCATCATGGAAATCTCCACGTGTCCATTCCACAAGTGGATCCCAAACAAATACCTCCAACAACATTAAGAGTATGTCCTTATTCTTCCTCAGGACACCAAGAACTGCTTCACAGTTTGCTCTAAAGGTACCTTCGATTCCCGTCAACCCTAAAGCTGTTTCAATTGTCTGGGTCAGGCGGAAGGGCACAATTTCAGGAATCTTTAGTCTTTGCCCTTTATCAAAGCACACATTGTAATCAATATGCAAAATATCTCCACTACAAAAATCCATAAGAATATTATCCAAATGCCTGTCCCCTAGGCCCAGGATGTGGCCGACCATGCTCATGGCTGCTAGGGTACCAGAATACCTACAAGCAAACAAACATTAGTTGATTCAAAACTTCCACAATTTACTATATACTTCGTTTGAGAAACATGAGGTTTTCCAAACTATTCATTGAGTATTAACTTCATGTAAACCAATGAAACTAGCCATTATTCAAAAAAGGAAAAATAAAACAAAATCACCATCATCATTATAACCATCAATATACTAGATGTGATAAGATCACAGTGCTTCAAGTTTCAGCTAATCATAAGATATTATAATAGCTTCCAAATATTTAAAAGCAAAATTGACAAAATTCAAGAAAAATATGATAATACCACAAATGGATGCATAATTAAGAAATTTATATTTGGATCAAAGATAAAATTTCCATGTTTGAATGTCAAAAAGAATTATTTGAGAAGCATTTATGAATACTGAAATTGGATCTTATTAACAGAGGGAATGAATTTCTTCAAGTTCATGATAGCAAACCTCTTTAATTTTGAGCTAAAGGCTTTGAATCCTTCACTGGCACACCAAAGTTCTTGATGAAGAAGTTGTTTAGGAGCCTCCTTCATAAGATCCAAAAGAACCTTTCGCTTGACTTCATGAGGCCAGTCTCTTCGTGATATTACTCTCCGTATGCCTTTCTCTTTAAGTGCTGGTATAATTTTACCATAGAACATATCACTTGGACGGGGAACAGGTGGAGGAACTGTAGTTTTCATATTATTACTGCCCTGTGCTGGCAGTTGTGCTTGCTGGACACGGTTCTGCCACGACTTGAAAACACTATATATACTAACTACATTGTCCACCCACTGGATGAGACCAGCTCTACCGCTGATTGGTGTCACGGAATAATAGCGAATGGAAAGAGAATTACAACGAGTTGCAGGACATGAATGCATGAAACCATTTATGGCTTGCAATAGTTGCATGATTCTAGCATCAAGACGCAGGTCTTCCCTCCCTTTCAAGAGATATGTATACTTATGACCATCTGAGCCCAGAATAACAAGTTTCTTAGGTTTGGTCTTGGTTGATAAGATAACTACTTGTTCACAGAAAGAAGTTATCGTCACAATTCCCTGGAGAGTTGTAGTTAGACCCAAATGAGATTCAGATATTGTGACTTGCTTTTCAAGACCAGGCATTGGAACATCAGAAGAGGATAGCATAGCCAATTGTGGTGCAACATCTCCCAAGGATATCGATGACTTCCTCTGATAAGATGCTAAGGATGCAGCAATATTATCGAATGGTCTCCACACATCCCCGAGTGCCGCAGCAGATGCTGGAGGAGTCTTGAAGTTTAAAATGGCTGATTTAAGTTGTTCCCTGTACTCCTCATGGAACCATATCTCATGAGGTGTTTCAGGTTTCCGAGAAGTAGAAGCCAGACGACGCTCTAAGGCTACAACAATTGGAGCCATCATGGCAGAGTATTTTGCAGCATTTATCTTGTTCTTCTCACTATGACTAAGGGTAGCATTCTCTGCAATTCGTGCAGCCTCCTCTTTCAACAAATTTATACGCCTCATCACATCTAGCAAATTTATATAAAAAATCAGTCAAGATAATTTGTCTGCGTGCAATGAAATCCAACAACTGCACAAGTGAAGGGTGACATGAGAAGCTTAAGGCCTAAAATACAATGCCCGTTTAGATAGTGAGGGAAGATAAGGTTGCAAATGGGCAAACTTTTCGCTTTTATATAATCCCATGTAGAGCATAATGGCTAAACTTGTGATTTTCATGTAACTGGTCTCAAATGGTCTTAATAATTGACAAAGGCATCCAGAGTTTTATAAACGTGAGTAAAAATAGACTTGGTGTTCAAAGAAAAATATATTTGGAAATAGCATATTGAGCCTGTGAGCCATAATAACAAATACTTATAATAATTCTAGAATAAATAAATCATACCACGACTTTGTATAATTTTTTTATTATTATAATGCAAGTGTATAACATCTAACAACGAAGAAACAAATTTAGCAAACCTTTTGTCATGTCAGAGACATGTGTTGTATACAATTTTGATTCAGACACCAACATATTCTTCTATTTTTTCAGTAAAACAGACACCCATATCTCAGTTCCTATTATTTTGAAGTTGTCATATAAGATGATAACATCCACATTCATAACAATATACGATAAAATCAACTTGCCACTTGAAAAATATGTACACATATCACACAGTAATGCAGAAAGCATGGTCAAACAAAGAATCTAAATTCAGTGAACCAACGTTACCCGTGTGAAGATCTTGAAGCGTGCTGAGCCATAGTTCCTCCCAAAGAACAGTTACGTTTCCCAGCTCTTCTATCATGAGCCGGACATCCTGAATTAGTCTTGGATAAAGTTTACTCTGCATACACCAAGATGTTAGTTTAATTTCCGTGTTCAACTTTGAACAAGAAACTAAGGGTTCATAATAACATATTTCACAGATAGTCAAAACGTTTATCTGGAGGAATTTTTCGAGTGTTAGAGATCAGATGCTGCAAAATATTTCCTATCAGATATGTAATGGGGGTAAAATTAAATTCTTTCTTGATCCTTGGTATAATGGAGCTCTGTTAAGGAATCAATTTTCTCTTAGAGCTCTAAGGTCCATTACTTTATCTAGAGATGTTACTCTTAGCTCTTTGATTGTCCATGGGGAATGGAATTTTGACAGCTTCTCTTCTGCAGATCTGCTTCCTCTTAAGCAGTTTCTGTTTCATACTCCCATTTCTTCTGCTTAAGACAAAATTCTATGGAATAAAGGTTTGTTTACTTTTAAGAAGGCCTGGGATTCCTGTAGAACTCATTATTCTCATGTTACTTGGGCTACTCTTTGCTGGAATGCAGGTAGGCCAAGGATTCTGTGGCCTGCTGCATCATTATTCTTGACAAGTATCCATCTTTTGTTAGTCTGCAGAAAAGAGGATGGATTTTACCTTCTATATGTACTAATTGCTTCAAAGCTTCAGACGATAGAGATAATCTTTTTGTGGACTGTGATTTGGCTACTGGTGTTTGGAATTGTTTCTGGAATATGTTGCATTGCCCTTGGCCTGAATTTTCTAAGAAATAACTTCTTCAGTTTCATCAATTAGTGGATTGGTTTGTAGCTCATTTCAGAAATTCAAAGCTGTCCAAGATGTTTGCTGCCATCCTTTGGGGTATTTGGAGAGAGAGAAATTCAAGGCTTCACTCTGGAAATGCTTCCTCTTCTCAAGCTATTGCCTCCTCCATTTGGTTCTCAGTCCTGGATGCTGCTGGCCTGAGAACTGAAGATGTTATTTCTTTGACTGATTTCTAGGCTCTTTCATGTGTACTGGAAATAGATGTTTTCATACTCCATTTTTCTCTGTTTTTCTAGAGGGTATGTCCTCTCTTCTTATGTACTTTAATGTTTTATGCTTCTAATAAATATCTCATTTATGAAAGAGAGAGAGAGAGAGTCAAAACTCAAAAGCACCAGCACATTGATATTCATATTCCAAGAGCAGAAAATGATTCAAAAAGGAAAAATTATTATATGCAAGAATATTTAATATGCAGAGAGGTGTAAAGAGAGTGAAAAACATGTTCTTTCTGTTTTTTCTTTTCCACATTTCCATAAATTATATGCATCTGGTAGGGAAACATATCTTTTCTTTTCAATTGATAATGTTTTTATTCACTCATTAGTCATTACTGCCATATTTCCAATGTTGGTCTCCAATGGTCTTAGCAAAGACTTCTGGATGAAATGATGAAGGACATTAAGAGAACATCTGAAAGAAAATTTTGATGCAAATGGTTTCTCATATCTCCGCCTCCATCATGTGAGTATCTTATCTTTAACTGCTGGTTCCAACCTCAGAAAAAGGATGACTGCATCAAGTGACAGTCAGCTTAAAGCCATTGTCAGACCCATATAAACTTAAATTTTCTGGATATTTTATCATATATGAGTTTTTTTCCTTTAAACAAAGTTACCAACACCCGCGCACAATGAGAAAATAAACTTAAAATTGGAATCTCGAATAAAATAAAGTTTAAAATGAACACATTCATAAGACAGTGTAAGTAGCATTTATTGGGTAAAATGACAGAAACCTAAGTAAGAGGGTTTAGTCGCGTCCAGCAAAAGATCTAGGATTACACAAGGAAAAGAGAAGACCAAAAGTAACATGAATGGAGCTATTAAGAAAAAGCATACTATTGTGTGGACCATAGTTATGTCCACGCAGAGCTAAATGGAGAAATAAAACTCCTATACAAACCGTAGCTTAATTGGGATACGGCTTTTTGAGCCAAGTATATTGATCTCTAATTTAATTTGGAACTAGAGTAGTCATGCACGGGAATACGGGATCACAAACCATGTGGCACAAGAAGTATTATATTAGGAGTGGCTCTTCATGGAAATCTTTGCAACAGGATTTATATCTCAAAAAGTATCCAACAGCTTTGCATTTTGGCACCATAGATGCAAATGAGAGAGTTGAGCCGTCTAGCGAAGTTATTTCAGCTATGACTGGTTTAGTGCTCTAAGGACAAGAAGACTGAAGACCATACAGAACAAGGGTTTTGAAGAGATGGGATGTGATATTAATGAAAAATTAGGCCCTTGTTTGAGCTGCTGACCACAACACAAACTTATTTTCTCTCTATTAACAGCATCCTCCTTGCCTTAATTGGAAAAATCTTCTATTCAAGATGACCTTCCCATTTCAGAACCACAATTCCACACATGTTTCTTAGAAGTTAGAACATATACAGCATAACAAGTTAAATACAGTAAATAGAGCTAAAATCTTTAATAATTTATGTGCATTTGCCTAAATAAAAGCAGCAGAATATTTCTACGTAATGTATCGAAGCACGTTAAATAAACAACACAATGTCAAACAAATTAATGAAAGATTGTATTACCAAACAAGCTAGTACGTGCTGAAGCTCCTCCGAAGGTTCCTCTTCATAAGCATTTACATCAACAAGGGTCGGGTAAACAATGGACCAAGGAGAGAGCTTAGCAAGCATCAATAGTAATCCTTCCAACAGTTTTCGAACCGAATGTTCAGGATGAGAACTCAACCGAGCAAAGAGTTGAGGTGTTATTTCCTTCAAAAGTGTATGCTAATCAGAATGTCATCAACTTATCTTTGTTTAACACAACATGTTAGAAACAGTTTCTTACCTGCCATGGCAACAAAGGAACTGTAGAAAGAGCAGGTTCAAGTGTATCTTTTAATTCCACTCCATAGTTAAGAAGAATGTGCAAGACATAGAGTGTAGCCCTAAGTGTGTAGCTCACAGTCTTCTGTTTCAGAGACTCGCAATCAAAATCAGCTAACTGACCATCACAGAGCTTGGAAGACGAATATGAAAGGTAATGTATGTAAGCTTGAGCCGCATGCCCAAAGAGAGACACCCTTCTCCTCCTCAAAGACCACCAAACATCAACTAAATCATCAACCAAGGACAACATTGCAGATTCTTCAAGCGCAATATTTGCACATAGAAAGCATTTTTGCAACTGAGAATTTACTATAGTAGAAAGGCATTCCCCACTAGAATTTTCTGCCCCTGGTGCTCCAGCTGTAGCTTCAATTATATTAACTACTTGCTGCACCAAAGTTTTCACATAATTCTCATTGCTCAAGTGCTCAGAAGATTCAAGATGAAACTTACACTCTCCCCCTTTCTCATTCAAATCTTTTGTATCATTCCTTTCCTGCAAAAGCTGCAAAACAATATATTTCACTCTTAATAGCTCTTCTTCAGTTAATTTAAATCTTTCGGGTAGAACATCTGGAACAAGAATGGGAGAAAAAGAACATGACTGAAGGGTGGTCTCATCTGGTGCAGAGAGAGATGCTCTAGCTTGCCTAAAACACCAAGAGGCATATGAAATCCATGACTTGCCCATAGTGGGGCAGAGACGAGAAGACAACTTTGTTGCTGTACCCACAAGTTCCTCAACAATGAGACCAATTCTTGGTTTAGAGCTTAAGTAATCGTCACTGAAGATGGTTGTCCCTCCAAGAGGAGAAATATCAGTTTCTCTGAAATCTGCACGCATCTTGAGAGCAATATTTTCCAAAGTTGTATCTGAATAATCTCTTCTCAACCAATCTGAAAGTTTCAAGCATGCCTTTGCCTTCAAAACATTGTCATCAGCGTCAGGAACATTACATGAAGGTGAAACCATGCAAGGACGTAGGAACAACCAAAGATTTGTGAGTGCATCTTCATGCTTGTTTTCAGCATGCATCAGCAGGATGCCCTCATACTGCAAATTCAAGATCAAGAAATCACGGTACTTCCCCTCAGAGCAAGTTAGTAAATGATCTTTGAGATGATTATTAAGACGGTTTGCCAACATTAGGTTTCTTTGCTTACGGGCTAAAGTTAACAAATTTTTACAGAGCTGTAGAGTCACCGGTGAAGATGGGAGGACAGTTCGATAAACCCGGAGAACTTTGAGCCACAAGTTACAATCTTGATGAACTCGGTTGACTGGGGATCGCAGTACCTGGATATATGAACTTAATAAAGACTGAAGTTGCTTGTCTTGGCTGTCTTTAAGCTTGCAACTTTCCTCAAAAGCAAAGATGCAGTGCAACTGGGTGGCATGCGCTGCTGCCTCCGCCACCCCATCAAGTGGCAAAACAGACAATGTCTCCTCCAGCATTGACTTGGCCTTTTGCATTTCATGTGATACCGTGTCTACCTTCTGCTCAGTTTGAAGAAGCATCGCCTGCAAAAGCATCTGTTCACTCCTTTGCAAGGCCAATTTGGGATCGAGAGTGAGTTCACTGCTACATTTAGGTGTCAAATCAAGGGATGCCCAGGCCGCCTGAAAATTACCCAAATCAAAGTGGGACAAGGCATGAATTGCATTTATTTCATTTCCAGCCGTTGTAAGAGCACCAGAATAACTCTTCCCAGCATGCTTAGCACGAAGTGTTTGCAGCTCCAATAGCCAGGATTCTAAAGACTTCCAATCAGAAACTGCTGTATAACTCTCAATGATACGCCCTATTGCGAACTGCACACCATCAGAACCCATAGAACTTAGTGACTCCTCGTTCTGCAACAAGTGAATAAAGTGGGCAGCAGCCTTTTCATAGCACCCTTCTGCTTGGTACACAAGTCCAGTGATCCACGAAAAAGGTCCCAAGGTCCCATTGTTACTCAGACTCTGGTTTTCGTTGCTAAGCAGGGAAGAGAATGTCATAGAAACCCATTCCTCTAAGCCAATCAAAGCCTCCGGTTCATGACACTTACAAAGAGCCAATGCCATGTGCCGCAAAACCCTCGAGATATCTCCTGAAAATCTGTCCAAATTATGTAGGTTCTCAGCCACCTGGGTCCTAGACTTGTCCTTCAAAGCTGAGGCCACAAGATTTCTAAGCTCCTGCAAACGCAACGTACAGTAATGAATTGTAGCATCATGACATTGCAATGCCAATCCAGCATTCATCATTGGCTCACATATGCGAGAAAACCACTCCTCGCAAACTTTTTTATTTGCCCGAAAGAACAAGGAACTCTGCCGAGAAGCACATGGCAAAACAGTTGATCCATCATATGCATTATATACATTTTTCTTCAGAGACTCCACAAAATCCAATAATAACCTCATTGGTAACAAGTGAGCATAAGAAGAACCTACAATATTAATATTTCCATCACTTTGCTCAGCATCAAGCTGCAGCACATGTGCAATGTCCAAGAGCATGCGCTCTAGTGCTGCAAAAGTTTGGGTGGGCCCACCAAGGTTGGTGCGAAGGCGCATAGTAATACAGTATCTGGCTGCTTCATGTATGGCCCACCATGCACCAGCAAGGATATTAACGGAGCAAATTTTTTCAAGAACATTGTCCTCAAATTTTATGTCTAACCATGAACCACTCACACCAATGTTTACTGTTTCCTCTAGTTGATTTAAAGCTAAGTCCGAACTCCGGCATGTATGAATGAGCCGCTGGATCCAAGAAGAAAGAGGCACCTTCCATCTTTGTGAAATGTAACTTAAGATGGAAACAAGCTGCTGTGAATGAAGTTGCTGAGGTAGTTGTTTGAGGGCAAATACTTGCTTCCAGTGAAAGTAAGACCTATCGCCTAATGGAAGGACACTAGGCCTATATGTGCTAACTGCTCCAAAGTCGTACAAACCACATACATATGTTGTAACAGGCAAAACATGGGAAAGCAACCTAACAAATGCATTTTTTATATCGTTATCAGGATCACCAAGTTTTTCAAGGACCAGTTCAGTAACAGTATAGAATTGTGTGGGATGAATAAGTTTTGCTTGCAGAAGAAGCTCTATAACTGAAGCAACATGAGATCTCACTTTTGGTTCCCTATCTAATGCGGAATCCATAACTGAGAAAATCAGATTTCCAACAATACCAACATATCTGAATGCTTCAGAAGTACAACTGGGTGGCTTTAAATTCTCATATATATCAATGACATTCTCACAGAATTTATGGATCCATTGTAGGGCTTCTAATTTAACTGCCAGTGGAGAAGAAAAATGAAGAGCTTTCACAAGGAACACACCATACTTCCTCAAATACTCAAAAATTACAGAAGAATGTTCATCCATCACATTATCCTCCTCCAGGAGCTTTTCAGTTGCAATATCCACAGAAACTTTCCTGCAATTAAGTTTCCAAATGGAACATTTGCTTAAAAATTCAACCGTAGCTAGCCGGTACAGTGCATTGACAACATTAGTTTGCAACTCCACATAGCCCAGAATAGGCAACTCAAAAGGATCCAATTTCTCTACAATAAAAGATACCAATTTTTCTGACCTCTCAAGGTATAAAGCATCAACGTCTGTTCGGCCAATCAAACTGCTAGCCCCACCCAAAGAAACGCAGCTTAATAGAACTTTTAAATCAAATTTGATCAATGAAAGCAACTCATGCTTTGAGTAAGATTTAGGAGCTGCCATGTTATTGATATCATCTCCTTCGCATGAAGTCCTTCCCAGCATGCCCTTTAACAACTCCAACTCTTCAGTCAAGGAAGTCACTGCTTGTTCAACAACTTTGTTATTGACATGCTGGAGCAGGAAAATATAAGTAGCAGCAGAACTTCCTGTCACCAAGTGATTTGGATGCAAACGCAGCTGAGATATAGGTGCATCAAATTGCAATATTTTATGCACAGATGATGGGAGAAGGCCAAGTTTTTGTAGAGACAATAATTGAAGATTGGTTTTAAGAACCCCGTGCACCTGAAAAGATGTAATCTTCCCAGGCCCTACAAGTTGGTTAGAATTGTCCATTTCCAAGCTTTGAAACAATGTATCAACGGCAAGGGGGTAAAAGGATGAAAACCTCTCGCTAAGAATTTCTGCTAGAAGAGTCAAGCACCTCCAGGAATCCCCGATCCATTTTGACCACCCGAATTTCCTTCCAACCATAGACAAACATCCTAATAACTGAGGGAGCATTTTGACAAGAGGTTCACTTATTTGTTCAAGTAGATTAATCTCTAGCAATCCAGAAGCTGTGGACTGCAAAATTGTAGAAAAGCAAGACAACAACGAAAGCAATCTTCGAAATTGTTGTGGTGTCCCAGGACTTCCATCCTGTAGTAATACATCCATGTCACCCAAGAACTTCGAGAGCAAACTCAGAGAGAACTGCAGGTTACTCACCCATTGTTTCTGAAATTGCAAGAAGCTATTCATAATAACATGTCTATCAGATTCAGCAAGGTCTGGTACCATCGCCCACCCAAGAAGCAGATCAACAATGTCCATAAAATGGGGTTGAAAACATCTGAAAAACTTCAAGGATATCAGAGTTAAGACACGCAAAAGCTGATGCAGTAAACTCAAGGAGGTTCTCTCATCTTCAAGCAGTTCTTGGCACGCTTTAAGAATCGGTAATGCATATCTCTCAATTGCCCCGACATCCCCGGCATCAAGAAACTCACACAGACCTTCTAATGCCAATTCTCTTGTCACGTCCCCAGCCCCAACATTGCTCAGCAAAGGCAGTGCCCAACCAATAAACCCATCGACCAGACTGCCAAGTACAACATGGTTTTGCCTTCCACTCGTCGAGATAGGGATTGAGCACAACACAGAACACAAAGCCCCATATGCTGTAGCCGCTGCCTGACGCACTGAATACAATCTAAGACACAATTTCACCCAAAACAAATTGGAAGTGTCACATAAATAAAAAAAAATTCATAATGGAAAGTGCTACTTGGGAAACCTTATCAAACCCAAAAGACACCATTACATAGGATTAGACAATATTGAATCTAGCTGCATAATTTTGCCTTAATGAGATTCATTCTAAGTTCTGATGAAATCAAATATTAAAACTGACCACTGCAGAAACAAAAAAAGATGTCGAACAAAAAAAGATTCTCCTGATGATGGAATTAAACTAGAATACTAAGCTTTATGAAACAATAAACACATCTCTCTTGTTAAAATAAATGGGTTGTTCAATCCAATTATTGAGCACTGATATGGGAAATGAGTTCAATAATACCACCATAACAACACAAATCGACAAACATTAAAGATTGGCATATCATAAATACATTTTACGAACCCAATTTCACCCAAAAAAAAACTTTTTTAAAAATTTTCATATAAAATATATAAATAAACCATAATGAAAAGTGTTAATTGAGAAACCTTATCAAAACCACAAGACCAATACATAGGATTAGAAAATATTATTGAATCCAGTTGTCTAATTTTTCTTTGACGAGATTATTCCTAACTTAAGAAAAAAATAAAGTTATCCTGATGATGAAATTCAAGTCTAATTCTAACCTTAATAAACCAATAAACCCATCTTTCTCGTTAAAATAAAGGGTTGTTCAATGATATCATCGTTAGAAGAAGAACCAATAAACATTAAATATATGTGTGTGAATTGTGTGTCGGAGAGAGAGGAGGGTTTAGGAATTTACTTGTCGGAGAGAAGTTGAGAGAAGGCCTGGGCAAGGAAAGAAGCGGAGTGGGTTATGAGAAGTGAATTGTGAGGGTAAAGAATGGCTCGGTGGAGAGAGTTGATGGCGGCGAGACGAGACGAGTCGGCTTCGTCAGAAGCAAGAGTTGTTGAAGAAGGAGGAGGAGTTGTTGAAGATGATGAATCGTCTTTGGGGAGAGCAGCGGAAAGCAGAGCTGCGAGTTGTTGCTGTTGGTGATGAAGTCCTTGCATCATCGCTCTCGAAGATTTTGGATTTGCATCTCTCTCTTCCTCTCACTAACTTTCTCTCTCTACATCTATCCTATTTTTATTCTTCTCACCGCTTTCGCTTCGGATTACAGACTCGCATTCTTCACCGGAGAGACAAGTGAAGAAACAACAACATTCAAGGAATTTTTTTTATTTTATTATTATTATTATTATTATTATTTCCCTCACTTTTAAGTTTTTAACATAAAAAATTTCTATGTTAACATTTCAAATTATAAAAATATAAAACATATAAATTTTTATATAAATTAAACTTTAAAGAAAATGAAGTAGAAAATAAAATATTGATCATGATTCATGACTTTGAAAAATATATACGTGTAATTATAACAATATAAAATATAGAATTATAATCCGAGTTCGGATTAGACTTAGGTTAGTGACCAATTTAAGTTTGAATTGAAAATTTTCAAAGAAAGTCTAAATTAATTATAAAAATGATTGGATTAATTGCACTATTAACAAAATTAATAAATGACTAAATTATCTTTATTATGAAATTTCTGTTCTTTTTTTTTTTACATATATAAAATATAGAATTATAATCCGAGGATTAGACTTAGGTTAGTGACCAATTTAAGTTTGGATTGAAAATTTTCAAATAAAGTTTAAATTAATTATAAAAATGATTGAATTAATTGCACTATTAACAAAATTAAGAAATGACTAAATTATCCTTATTACGAAATTTCTATTCTTTTTTTTAAAAAAAAAAAACAAAACAAAATTTAACTTTAGAAATTGAATGAATAGTGCAAGTCTTAATCACAAGTTAAATGGTATGTGATTAGCTGAGGTATTGAGAAAAGCTACTCTCAAACTATTGAACTTCTTTCGTCCCAAAGTTTTTGTCCATCTTTTTAATTTAGGACGTCTCAAAATACATATTTTAGTTTTTAAATAAATGTAATCATTTTTTTTATAACATTTCAAACAATCTTTTTTATATTAACTTGATTAAATAAGTGTACTAATTGCGGGGTACTCATTTATCTTTTAATAATAATAAATTTAAAAATTCACTCTTATCCATGTTAAAAAAAATTTAATATTAAAAATCTACTACAATAAAAAAATTTGATTTCAACTCATTTTTACAAAAGTCTTTTATGTAATTAATCAAAAAAAATTGTATAACCTCGTGAAAAATCAATTTAAATTCAAATTGAATTCGAACTAGCTTATTCAACTTACACTTCTAGTGGCAGTACAATTATCATGGACACAAATTGCTCAACATAACTGTGAAATTGTCCCAAGAATAAAAAACCAAATCCACATGACAAGTTTACTTATTTGAGATTCCTAAATTCTTATTTAAATTTGTATTTTTGGTGATATAGAAAGAGAAACAAAAGAAAATAATACAAGATTTTCTTATGTATTTATCTAAAAAAAAAAAAAAAAATTATTTAAAAAAACTATTTTTAAAATAGGATTTTTATCAGTGAGCACTGGTATAGAGAGTGGCCCATATTTGCAGGCCCATATAGAGAGTGGCCCATATATTTGCATATTGCAAGCCTATGATACACAAATACACGGGTTTTAACTTTCAACGGGTTAACCGACAAATCACTTTCCTGAAGCCCGGTTAAATTAATGCAGTGGAGGCTCGAATTCCAGGCAACAAGAAAACCCTAACCCTGCCGCGTTCGGAGGCAGAACCGCCACTTCTCTTTCCTCCATCAACCCGGTGATCGCGCATTCACAGCGTTACAATTCAGTGAAAATCCAGCAGCGAGGTCGAAGTTTCTAAGGCAGATAAACGATGTCGTACGACGATGTGGAGATCGAAGACATGGAGTGGAACGAGGAGCTTAAGGCCTTCACGTACCCTTGTCCATGCGGAGACTTGTTTCAGATCACCAAAGACGAGTTGAAACTCGGCGAAGAGATCGCTCGGTGCCCTAGCTGTTCCCTCTACATCACTGTCATATACAATCTTGAAGATTTTATCGGTGAATCGAACCAGAAATCTAAGAACAATCTCGAGCCCGCGAAGCAACAGCCCGTCACAGTCGCTTGAGAATTCAGGTTTTATAATGATCGTTCACACACACAAACACACACTATATATATGTTGGCGAGTTGCTGAGTTAATTGATTGTCTGCGGGATTAGGTTTTGTGTCCAGAAAATCTTGTGGTGGTTTTCTAATACTCTTTTGTTTGGAGGGTTTGTAGTTGCTGAAGTTTTGTGTAACGAGAGAGTAATTGCTTGGAATTTGAGCTATATATATACTTTTTTGTGGAATAAATTCTACCATTCTTCTGGTTAACTCCTTGATTCGTCTCTAAATATCAATTGCAGATGAAGTTGAAATTTGGGAAGTTCTTTCGTGTTATTGGTTTATTGGGTTCTTTATATAAGGTGTTATTGCAATAAAAATTCATACTTATTCACAAATATGGGTACTTCCAACTGTTAAATTGGAGTTGTTTCAATTTTTTTTTCCATTGTAGAAGCACATCATAAGTTATCTCTATAACTATGAATAACATTTTGTCATTGTTATTGAGCATCTAGCTCTCTGAGCGACTCCTCCCGTCACATGGGAGGTTGGGGCTTCAATTTATTTTTCAAGCACCAGTGGGCGTGTTGTGTTTATCTATTGGGGTATGCTTATTACCTACCCCAAAAAAAAAAAAGAAGCAAATAATAGAACAATCTCTATCATGGTTTCTCAAAGAAAAAAAGAGTATGAGCTACTTGAATTTTCTTTCTATATAAGTGACATACCGATTGCGAAAGTCATGTAATGTGTCATATTTAACTGTGGTACACGATGGTTTGGGGTCTTCCATCATTAAGGTTCCTCTGTCATTCCTTCATGCGGTATACGGTTGAATATGGAGCCGGCAATTATTGCACTCGTCGAGTTGGCAACTGCATTTGTTAATTAGCTTAGTAGTAGTTACTAGTCACAAGGCATCTTTTTTTCTTGTTGAAAGCATCCCTGAGTCCACTGCAACCCTGAAAGTTGCTTGAGTTAGCAACTTCACACTCCACAAAAAAAAATTTGCATCCCAAATCCCAAAATCCAAATGTATGGTGTCCATGTAAAGTTCCTTGTCTTCTCTTATTTGAAGTAGATAGGATGGCAAGCTGCTAGTCCAAGCTTCCTCCCCATTTATCCATTCCTCCCTTTCATCACCCGGGTTTTAACTAGAAAGTTTTGCAACATTATTTATGTCCTTTAGGAACATGCTAAGGGTAAATTATTTAGATATGGAGTGTCATATTCCTGTGTAGGTGGTGTAAAATTACGGGGTACTACCAGTGTATAACTGGGGAGGTTTTTCTAACTAACATGTATTTATTAGATATTGATTATCATTTTCCTGTGTGGGTGGTGCAAAATTATGGGGTATGACATGTGTAACCAGTATTACGTGTGTAACTGGAGAAGTTAATGTTCTCACTAACACATGTCTGGTTTCCACTAGGCTTAATGCAATCTAGTTATGAAAGACAACAATGAAGGTAGAGGAAAGAATGTAGAAAACCTAGAATAGGATTTGGGAAAGGAATTTTAGGGTGGAATTATTTTTTACCTTGCTAGTCCAATTTTTGGAATATACAATATTGTTTTACAGATTGACATTGCCCCGTTAGGTTTAACTTTATCGTCATCTTTGCATTTTACTTAATTTCATTATGTAGTTGCTATCAGATAACGTGTGCAATGGAATTATCGGCGATTTGTGTTCACTAAGTTTATCTCCATGTGTTCCCTTGAACTGCTTCAACATCTTTTACTGCTTGCTAAATATGGTCACTAGGACTTGAAATAGGTACAACAAAAGTAAATGGCAATCAGAAATCGCACTTCTGGTTCAAATTAAATTCTCCTTCTAGGCGAAGCAAAGTTGTAGGGAACTGCTTAATATTGTCTATTTTGCCGCCTTGAATATTTCATGTCTTTCATGATTAATGATAAAGCTTGAAATTGCTGAAGAAAATCCATATCATCACGAGTCCTCATTAGGGCCTGGCCAGGCTGGGTTGTATATTCCTTGAGAAATTGTCTGAAGACATAAATAAGCATTTCTGAAAGCTTAGATTTGCATTTCTCATTCTTTTCATAAGGGCTTGGGTCAGACTCTGTTATGGCGCTCTGTTCATTTGTTACCCTTAAATTATTACATTTATGCATGATTTGCATAATTTAAGAGTATTGCAGACAAAATCATATATTTATTAGGTTTATTTTTTATTTTTAAATATAATGGGTAGAAATAAACTATACTCCGTGTACATCTATTGGAGTTTCTGGTGTGGTCTTGTTGGGTCAGTTTGTTAAGCAGGCTCGCATTGATTTGTTGAAAATAGGCTTTGAATCGTAACTTTTGTTTAAGAACAGCAAAACCTTGAGACATGTTTTATTCCAGACCAAGTAAAAACCTGGTAAGACTGTGGGTAGATTATTTAAGGCATCGGAAATGTCTTCCATTTTTAGTTTTATTTGTTATTCTTTCAACAGATCTTGATAATATGAATAGAGGTACTGGAAAACTAGTTCTGTATTCCAGTACATGTGTCTGCGGACACTTAAAATTTGAAAAGATATTGTCGAAAATGTTGAGAGATTTTTTTTTCCTTTGAAATTCCCAAAATATAGTTTAGTTATATGTGGGTATTGAAAAGCTACAAGGGATGCAAGGAAATAGTTGCAGATAATGCTTATATAATATAAGGTGGCATTATAATTTAGAATTGCCTTATTGCTTATCAAAAAAAAAAAAAAAAAAAAAATTAGAATTGCCTTGTTATGAATAAATAATCAAGGAAAACGAATGATTTCTTTTCAAACCTATTTACAATATATGGAATGGATCATTCCAATTTCCTTGAGACGTCCTTAATTCAAGAAAGACCCAATTGTTGTGAAAACCGGGTAATCATTTTCAACGCCATTTGGACTTATGATTTCAAGGTAAACTTCGACTTATGACTTTAAGGTACACTTCAAATGGGTACAATCATTTATAAATCACACGTATCATTTAAAATCGGGTCTTTTTGAGTCTGTGTGTGAATCGATCCTAACCTAAGTTTACAACTCGCACCAGGACACCCTCGTCTATGACATTTGTTGAGCAAAATATTCTTGTACTTGGACTGTTCCAAGTGGTGGTGTAGTCGAAGCACAAAAACCATATTCTATGGTATCACATTCACCATCCTCTCAATTATATATACCTAGAATCTTGAAACTTTACTGTTATGTCTTTTATTTAGATGAATTTGGTTCGTTGGTGATTTGATCTTCTTGAACAGATGGGAACATATTATTTGCCACACTTAAATATATTGGAAATGGTATCATCTTTCACTACATGCTAATGGGGTCACCACATAGTACAAACCTGCCATTATTTTAATATTGAAGAGACAACTCTTTTTACCTCAAACGTAAGGGCAGGCTATGTGGTCCAATTCACAATCAATTATGTTTCTGAAACCCTGATCTATTCACAGTCCTCAAATTTGAAATAAATTAAAAATCAGATAGAATGAAATCCTTATTTTGAAAATTGAAATTAAAGAAAAATTGATTTATATGCATGAATCAAACATGACCAAAGACAATATTGTCATGACCATACGTTCCTTTGACTACAATCCCGTGTAACGAAACACAATATTAATGTAATTCTATTCTTTCACTAATCCTATGTGTATATGTAATGTTGTGACTCGAGTTTGTTTTTGCTTTATAATTAGGGTTAATATAAGAGAGTACTGAAAGACATCTTTTGTGATTAGGGTTTGTGACGTAATACGAGAGAGCGTACGGTGTAGAAATTGAAACTCGTAATAATATCCTTCCAATTCCACCAAAGACCACCTTTTCCTTTGTCATTATTTATTTTTTTCCAGAAGTTGTAGTGCAAGGTCGTACATGGAAGGGCTTTTTATCTTGGCCATTTTATTGTGGAAACATATGCAGCATGCACCAATCATTCAATTAAATAGCCATTCAGCTTTTTTTTGACATGATGTTTTCTTGGTTTACTATTTTCTTCATATGGTGTTGCTGCAAGTACATCCACTTATTTAAGCTATGCATTATAATGGAAATGGAACTACTCTGGTCTATGAGACTGCAGCTTCAATGGGCACACTTGTGGGACACTTAGTGCCAGGCTTGGCCCTTGCCCTCCTTGGTCTATGGCACACAATCAACACCATCAGAGCCTACTCTCTCAAAGGCTCTGCCAACTTTGTGTCAAGGTTTTGGTACCCATTCAAGGGTCCTCTTTCCAACCTAAAACACTTGGAGCTCATTTCCATTCTCTCTTTCTCCATCCTCACAATTTTCATGCAAGTCCTAGACTTCCCCTTTTTTCGCTTCTCTTTCAAGCTTGACAACTTCGAGCACGCATCCATGTTCCTTCACCTAGCCATATTTGCAGCTTTTGCCCTTTCCGCGGAGTTAACTCATTCGTCTGAGATCCTATCCGGGGTCTCTGGGATCCTTGCTGCCTCTGTTTTCGGTCAAGAGCTTTTCTTACTCCATTACCACTCAACCGATCACGTTGGACTGGAAGGCCATTGTCATTGGCTCTTGCAGATCATAGTGTTTGTCTCTCTTGTGGCAGCGCTGTCTGCAGCTACTTTCCCTACCAGTTTCCTGGTAGCACTTGTTCTTTCGATTTCAGTACTGTTCCAAGGGTGCTGGTTCTTGAACATGGGATTCATGTTGTGGGTTCCCGAATTTGTTCCACAAGGATGCGTTGTGCAGTTCGTCGATGGCAGCAGTGACAGCATGCACGGAGCAGTCATGTGCAAGACTGATGAGGCGGGCTTGAGGGCGAGAGCTCTGGCCAATTTGCAGTTCAGTTGGATACTCGCGGGAATTTGGATATTCACAGGATGTGTTTGCTTGAAATTTGCCAAAAACTTTACACCGAGGAGCCAGTCAGCCGAGTATGAGCGACTTAATAGCAGGGGTGCTGAAGTCTCTGTCGCCATTAATGGACTCAAGCAGGCTCACCCATAGGATACTGTAGTATGTTAATAATGCAAGTTGATGTCCAGTAACAGACATGTAGAGCACTTGAAGATCTTCCATCAATTTACATATGTAAATGGACCAAGTAGTTATTCTAAGCCTTTTGTTCTAATATTTGAGTTCTCCTAAACTTCAAAGTTCATTACATGTGTGATTTCTACTCATCCAATTTTCGAAAGTTAATGTACCATTTGTTTCAGCTCCTCTTCGAACATTCTTTATCCGAAACTGATTGGAATAACCTAAAAAATCTTCTAATGGTTGTAGACCAACAATGAAAAATGTGTATATAATTTCACTTTGATCGGAAAAGCCAGCGATGAACTTCCTGTTCATATCAACCGGCACGCCTGACACAACTACCAACTAGAATCCTTGAAGCGGCAATATAGGATTTTTTGTTTAGCTGATACTCTCAATATTATCAGATTTCAGTCACCATAATGCAAGAGGTCCTCAATCAATTGAATCCAATTTGATGCATGGGAAGATGAATTTTTGTGCATAAAGTGATCAAACTCGCATTAATCTTTAGAAAATTAGAAGCCATGAAATATTAAGGAAAACGGTAGTCCATTGCCAAATCAACAAAATTTTCATCCTAGAAATTATAATTATATAAAGTTTCACTTTGTAATCCCAAGACGATACAAAATGTTCAGGCGTTAGAGAAGCACACAAGTGACATTCGAAAAATCAAGAATACATAACGTTTACTAAGCAAAGCATTTGCTTGGCAGAGGAAGAAAAAAAAGATAAAGAGAATAGTAAGGCACAGTCTACAACTACCATCACAATTTTTTTTAAAAATGCAATGTAAAGAAAGATAAAACCTTCAAACAAGCAAATGTTACCTCAAAGATGCCAAATTAGTAAGAAATTTCACACAGCTGCTCCTAAATCACTGCCAGCACCCCAGCTGTTAGATTGCCGCTTTGCTTCTTCCTCCAACTCTTTCGCTACTACATAAAACCGGCGTCTAGATGTTGGCAGCCTTGAAAGTGTCAAACAAAAGCCTTGCAACCTATTCAAAACATTCTTAAACATCGTAAATTTAACCACACAGATGCCAATAAATATATTGAAAGAAAAGAAAAAGAATACTGTTAAAAGCATGATATAAGCATTGAAAAGGGAACCAACAACCACTTCAATTGGTGGATCTGCGGTACAGTATTAGTTCACATACCTTCTACCTATGCCCTCCAACTGAGCTCTTCTTATCTCATTCTGTGGAGGAACGCCATCGTTCTGCCAAGCTTCAATTCTTACTGTGTCACCACAATATAGACAAAATTTGTATAGATACAACTCTTCGTTCTCAACTAAATTTAGACTCTTGAGTTGCTCTTTCATGATACTCATAGGCTCAAACAGCCACTCGAAAACCCTTCCTTCAGGCCTATTTAAACTTGTTAATTCAACATTGTCACCTGATACAGTATGCAAGAGCATTAAGATTTTCATCCCCTTACTGAAATAGAGAAGCAAAAATTTGACAACTAAATATATATATATATATATATATATATTAGTCCAAAAATGCAGAAGCAGATATATAAGTAGATGCTCATACGCATGACAAATCCAGGGGAACCACTCTTGATAGAGCGAAGAAAGCACTCCAGAAATGCATAAGCAGGAATTCCAATGTTAACTATCTTGTTCTTTGAAGTTTTCCATGCCTCCAGATCTAATATCCCAATGGATCCATTTTCGAGCAGCTCTTTCCCGGTAAGCTCACATGCTTTAAAGAAGTTTTCCCATATCTGATTCATGCATTGATACCAACTGTTAGCAAATATTTAAACAAGTTTATGGTAAAAGAAGCAAAAAAGGAGAAGAGAAGAACATGACAGCAATACGTAAATACCCTACTTAACAAGTGTGGAAATTATGAGCTAAATATAAAACCATCTTCGTTCCGTTAACCGGCTAGACTAAATTGCCCCAAAAAGAGGAAAAAAAACTCATTGTTGACGAGTCAAAATGCACTTCTTAATTGAATGGTGACAAGAAAACAGTTGTTGTCGAGAGAAAATATGGTTTAAAGCCAGAAGGAAATATGAACTACAACAACTATGACTACCAGATAACAGTATCTAACACACCTTTCTGCTAACGGCGATTTCTATAAATGGAGTGAACTTGAAGAAGCATAAGTTATGTTACTCTTACCAGTGCAGAATTCAGTGCCTTCTTTTTCTCAGAAGGTGTCTTTATCAGAGGTTCCTTGGTGCGGACAACATCAAGCTGCTCGTGCAATCCCTTCGCAGGAAGCAATGAAGAAGTGAAGCTTACTCCCTCACGGTATCTAGGTCTGGCTGCCCACATAAACAGAGGTTATTATATGGTACACTGGAGGGAAAATGCAAATTTGTTAACAAATTACTAAAAACAATGTTAGATCATAATTTACCAAGTACAACAAACTAAAAGCTTAACAAGGTTCCTGAAGACTGAAGGGAAATAAATCATTGAGGAATCTACTTGTGGACTTACAGACCTTGGAAAACACGACCCTTCTCGTAGATAAAGGAAATCATTTGTGTACTCATCAAACAAAGATAAAGAAGCAACTACATAGAGCAATCCTCTTTTCGTAGAACTTTCCTGAATCAATCACATGGTAAGCTTATAACTAATGATTTCTTCTTTACTAACATATATAACAAAAAAAAAATAGAATGGGGAAATGAGAGAATAAAAAATTCCAGTGAAGCCTAATTTTTTAGAGCAAATAAATATTTTTTTAAAACAAACCTGATATACAACAATAGCAGCATAGCATCCAAAGGAAAAGCTTGAAACGATTCCTGCAAATATACTGAAAAGTACAACAACTGGCCACAATAAAATCAAAAGCCCGGCAAAGGGGACGCAAAGAGTTTCCAAAAAGGGGCCCTCTCTGCCAATAAGATCTTGTATCAACCGATGCCATCCTTTAATAAGCAAGATGGGAGCTTTGTAAAGCACTATTAAAGTAATAAAAGGCACATCAATTAGAACTCCAAGAATGGCACACAAAATGCACCCTGGTATTTGAAAAACCCTACACGAAAATGAGGAATAAACATAGTTATAAATGGATGCTAAATCCAGTTCAAAGGCACATTCGAAGTATAGTAAGTCAACAATGGCAATAGGAGTTGAAACTTAGTTTAACACAAGAGAAACTCATAAAAAACTGGTATGTATTTAGAAAGGAAACCAAGAATTGACAATTTCAAGATATAAAATCGTTAATTCATTTATAAACCTCAGAACTACACACAGGTGAAGGCTTCCATAGAGGCAAATCTTTCTAACACTCTCAAGTCACGTTTTGTATTCTACTCATTCTACTATTGTAAATAGCAGTGAAGAAACTGAATAATCGACTTTCATTATATACCGCTGCAAATGCAATTTAAGTTATTGAAGAATCATCATAGTCTCATAGAGGGCTGCTAACACAAAAGTAACACATAATAAACCGGTATGTAGTTAGAAAGTGAGGCTAGAATTGACATTTTCAAGATATAAACATGGTCAATTTGTTTACAGATCTCGGAACCTATGCACAGGTGAAGGCTTCTTTAGAGACAAATCTTCTTAAGACTCTAAGTCACGTTATGTATTCTGCTCTATCAAATATTGCTAATAGCAATGAAGAAACATTGAAGAACTAACTTTCATTATATACCGTGCAAATGCAATTTAAGTTAATGAAGAATTAACATTCATTATAGAGTGCTGCATAAATAGAGCTTAGAGATCAGAGGATTGGGATTCTGAAGCCTATCTTGTATCCTCGGTTTCATATGAACTCGATGTTAGATACCACCATTTGATCCCCCAACCTGCTCTTAAAAGAGGGTTAGCGTTGACACTAACAGAGATTTTATATTCTCATGCATCAATTGAGCTTAGAGATTTAAAGACAAAACCATACTTCCCTTGGTTAAATTACTGAAACATAACATATCAAAGTTGAGTGTCATACTAATTCAAGAGCATCCTATTTGCAAGAGAAAAGTAATTTTTCATTGGCACAACAGAAACAAAAATTAAAAAATAAAAATGAAAAAAAGAGTTCCACAAAGGTAAAATTTGGGTGCAGACTCACTTTAATTCTATGGGTTCCTCCCCTTTTGACTTGAGCAAATCATCCATGACCGAGAAGTACGAATGGAAGGAAAAATCTGCAAAATCACGAACAATGGTGCAGGCACCCCAAACATTACTCCAAGTACCATCCTGCAGAAGTAGTTTCAAAATCATGAAATCCTCTAAATAACACCAAAACCAATTCATCGAAAAAGAGATCGGTTAAGACAATACCGTGAAGCATTTAATCAGCTTCATTGGAAATGAAACACCTTCCTTGCTAATTGCCTTGAATGTTTCCATCACCGGCCAAACAAAGCCGTATCCAACACCCATGATTACACTCCCTACTACTCCAACGATAGTCCACAATGCTATTGGTATTGGGACTGTTAGAATCAATAGGCACTTCATATATGGACCGAATTTCTTCGTTCTGTGCTTCAACAAGTAAAAATAGAATTACTCATTAAAAAAGGCAAACCAGTGCACGAGGCTCCCGTCTGTTAGGGGTTTGGAGAGGGTTAGACGTACCTAAAATTACTTCTCAATACATAAAAAGTTCAGTTTTCCACTTCTTATCTTCCTATTTTTCAGTTTTAAAAAAGAAAAATACCAAGGTAAAACTGAAGCTTTATGCCATCTTTGTCACATTAGTTCAGCTAAAATTGGTCCAGAACCAAAATAATGAAAAATTTGAGAATCAAAAATATTATTAATACATGCACATGTACATGTATATAGAGTGTGTGTGTAAATATTATACACACACACACACACACATAAAGCTTATCAACAGTAAATTCCCTTTTCAACTTGCATCAAAGTAAAGAAAAAGAAAGAAGTTGAAAACCTTGCTATACAGTAGATACTCCAAACAAGATGGCAAGGCCATAGTCCAATCACAACACCTATATCTCCAAAAGCAATCACCAGAAACACAAAAGGGCTGAATACACCACCTGTAACAAAAATTCATCATGGGATCATCCATTACAATTTAGAGAGAGAAACATGTAGAGAGAGAGAGAGAAACCTTTGATGATGCCCAGAACAAAGAGGAACACAAAGACAGGGAAAAATAAGATGAAGTAGCAGATATATGCAAAAAACCCTTTTGATTCTCCCATTCTTCTTTCAACTAGTGAATTAACTGCCAAAATTAATAACAATAAATCAATTGTTGGGTTTGACAGGAGTTACAAAATTTTCAATAAACAGAATACATAGAGGAAATAGTACTGAACTACTAATACAGTATGCTTTCCTCTAAAACCCACCTTAGAAAACAAGCAATATATATATGGAAATGGTACTGATAACAATGTGCCACTTGGGACTACAAACATTAATTTCAATATCTTTAAGAATATTTTAGTAATGCAAAGTTCAGTTCGGAGGACTTTGGATCACCTGCATACATACAACTGCAAATTCGGAAATTGTCAATGGAGTGAGTTTCTATTTTATTGGATGGACTAATATTAGTAATAATTTTTTATTTTTTTAGACTGGGCTAAATTTAAGTATAGTAAAAAAAAAAATTAGCACCCCTGGATCTGCCGATGCCGCCTGCAGACGCCTAGAACATGTTAAATCAGCCAAAAAAAAAAAAAAACAACAGATTATTCGGCACTACTATTTTGAGAAATCAAATGACACTATTTGGGGCAAAATAAAAGCATTAGATGAATTATGAAAAAAAAAAAAAAAAAGCATTAGATAATATATTTTAAAAAATTTAATAGTATGGGTTTGAATGATTCTCATGGTCTGTTGTATTAAAGCAGGGTGCCACGTATGAGATCATTCAAGCGTATAAAATTACCATACAGAAATGAATGTGACATTTTGTGATTCCCCACTTGTAAAGAAATTTTTGTGTGGGTTCCAATTGATAAAAGGAATTGGTTAGGGGTAGGAGTGTCATTGTGGGTTTTTTTATTTTTTTCGTTGAGTATGAGACGGTTTTGTTTGTTGTTTGTTGTTTGTGATTGCGCATGGTGTTGGAAATTGTTAAAAATGTTTTTGCTTTCTCACGTTTTAGACAACAAAAAGAAATCGCTTTCGGGATACCGTGTCCGGGTTTTCCGCCGCCGGATCTCTGCTTTTGAAGGCCCACATAATCCAACTGGGCCACGTGGCCCTTATCCATTGTCTTAAACTATTGGATGAAAATGAATACTAAGCCATGCTATCAACATTTTTAGCTCCAATCACATGCCATTTATAATTGGGTCAGTGTTTGATTAGATGAAAATCATGAAAGTGAAATTAATAGTAGGCAATGCTTTTAACATTTTTAGCCCCAATCAAATGCCATTTATAATTGGTTAGTTTGGTTAGATGGAAATTGTATCGTCAGTGGTAAAAGGGCCATGCTTAAAGTACGTCCACTCTTATTAATTCTATATTAATCTTAAGTTTGATTCTTCCTCCCCCAACTAACAACTAAGTTAACTAACCATTGTCAAAAAAAAAAATAAATAAATAAGCCAAAGAAAATGAAGTGAAGGGAAATAAAATTAATTTTGTAAGATTCATTTGATTTGTATGAAATTTTTTCAAGAAATTTATCAGAATATCTCATTTCATTGGTTTGGATAGTATGAAAGTTTTTTTTTTTTTTTTTTTTGATAAGTTGGATAGTATGAAAGTTAATAGAAAATATTATGATTTACTTAAATTATTTAATTTTTAAATTAAATATTACAATAGGTCTAAATAAATTTATATTTAATAAATTTTTTAAAATAAAAGTATATAAGAATCTAAACAGTAAAATTTTAGGTAGCCATTAAGCCTATTATAATATTCTTACCCAAAATCATGCATAAACATAATTTATTTTAAAAAGTGAAAATTGGATATAATTGGAATTTCATATAGTTTTTTCAAGAAAGCAAATCTTGCGTGTGTTTTTTGTAGGAAAAATTTGTAGAAAAGTTGAGTGGTTGTAGAAAATTACTTTTCCACAAAATTTTTACTTTTCCGTTAATCTAACTCTTAAAATATTAAAAAAATTTCAATTTCAATTTCTTTTCATTTCTTACTATTTTCATCTAACCAAACTAAGTCACAGAAAAAAATAATAAAATCAACTACACCTAATGTTGAGTGTCTCACATGGTCGTGGTATTCACAATAATTATTTTAGTATGGACTCCATACTTTCTGACACACCCGAGTAGTGGGTGTATGTTACAAAAACAGTTATTTAAAATTATATTATCAGAACAATAATTTTGTACAAAATAATCTAAGATATTAAACTTCTCATTCTTAACATTCCACCTATGTCAAAAATGGAAGTTTGATTAGAGAATGTAATAAGTAAAAAAGCAATGATAGACAGAGTAAAAAAAAAAAAAAAAAATCACTTCTTTATGTGGTTTTGTTTTGTAAAATCGTTTGGTTCAATTATATGAAAATATATAGAAGACTCTTAATTACAGTCGCCTATGTTATCATCTATAATTATCCATCACTTATCAAACCATCTTATATGTAAAGTGTTTTACTAAATAATCCATCACTCATCAAACCATCTTATGTGTAAAGTGTTTTACTAAATAATTCACTTCTATAATTGGACTTCAACTAAAATTTAATAAATGTGATTATTCTATCACCACTATATTTCTCTCTCCATCTCTCTAGTATACCATTTGTTTCTATCTTTTACAAATAAATTAAAACTCAATTATACAATTTTACTTCAAATAAATTAAAACTCAATTATACAATTTTACTTCAAGAAAATTTTAATTCTATAATTTACTTGAAAATATATATAGGACTTCTTCTACTGAAACTCAATTATTACATGTCTTATACATAGACACGAAAGAGGAGAGAGAATAGTACTCATTTCATCTCATAATGAGTGTCATGTATTGAGATCCGTTTTCGAGCCACGGTTCCTAATACATAACACTTATTATGAAACAGATAGAGTAGTTAATAAACAAAAGAGGATAATATTGTCTTATAAATTAAGATTTTAATGTTCCATAAAAGTAAAAATAGTGTATTAATTATAATTACTTTTTTAACCAATCACATATGCAATTATCTAAAAACAATCATTAACGCCACTGCAATTAGCGATCCTCAAATGTAAAATACACCTCCTAAAGAATTAGAAAAATAGTTTTTCAACGGTTATAATATTGTTGTTCTCTAGATATTTGAACGGAATCAGAGATTTTGTTCAGGATAAGGCTACTCGTTCTGACAAAATGAAAATCGTTAAGGATGGCCCATCTTAGGGATGATATTTTCAATATCTAGATTCATATTTTATACTTATTTTGTTTTTTAAAATTTTATCCATATTTAATATGTGAAATCATGGCTATAAAATGAGTCAATCACATGACTTGGCGATCTAAGCATTTTGGAGGATTCGATCTAAAATGCAAGTTCCAATGTAAAGACATGTTTCATGCCTTTGATTTAATCAATGAGTATGTGTAATTGTGTATGCATTAATCAATCTCAAATAGTTGGATTCAAATGTCATAAGTTATGATATTTAATTTCAAAAAAAAAAAAAAAAAGGAACAAAACAAAAACTTAAAATAGCTAGCCATAAAATTAAAAATTAAGTACTGATATTTTAAAAAATTAAATTTTAAGACCTGAAATTCGAAGCATTAATTATAAATTGAGTTTTTCTTTCAAAAGTTCTTAATATTTTAAGTGGTCAATTATAAATGAGGCCTACAATTTTACTTTAACATTTTATTCTCATTTCAGATGACATGTATCGTTTTCATTAGTATTTACAGTGCAGTATCTCAATCACATAATTCAATATATATTTACTTTATTAAAAATTAAATATTAAATTGAATTACCAAACATAGACCTAAAATCACTAAACTCTTACGTGAGTTCAGACATAGGAAATGTTAATCAATTAGCCTACCTCTTTTTCTATCTTTGGTCACCCTTGAATTCTCCAAGCCTTTCTTGAATGCCAATCTCAGCCACATATAAAGAGACAGGAGAGTGGTGGTCTGGGATGCAAGGCCACCGTGCTGATTTGAGGCTGTCCACTTCCCCATCTATCTTCTAAATTTATGCGTTTATTTTCTTATATCTATAGGTTATAATTCTTAATGAGAAAAAAAAAAAAAAAAAAAAATAATGATTTGGAGTTCAAAAGTCAAAAAATTTCAACTGATTTATTTGAGTATGTGCTGACATCACCATAATATTATTAATATTCATAATGTCATGATTACATCAACGCATACATATGTAAACTTAATTGTTACTAAAGAAATATTAGTCCCTAAGCAAAATGAATAGAAGTGATAACTTTTACTTTATTCGGGGGGAAAGCGAGGAATTCAAAGTCATTTTTCCTCCACTAAATGGAGAATTAGTAAAGTATAGATGATGAAAAAGAAACTTTAACGGCGTTGATTCTTTGAATTGGAATTATATTTTAAACTCCATCTCAAGTCATCAACGATCGTAATTGTTTCACTTTGATAAATAAGCCTAACTTAGGTGTGACGGACAGGTTTTAAGTATCCCCCACCCTATGCTCCTAAGTTCAAATCACCTTCCTCCTAACTATTGCCAAAAAATAAATAATGGCCTAATGTAACAGGTGGGCGCTTGCCCATTTACCCAAAAGTTTGAACTATTAAGTAGTGCTGCATACCCACCCATTTATACCCAATCACTTTTTCCATTCGATTCCGATGTGGGACAAATGACCCTTATTACATTCTTCCCCACCCAAACTCGTAACGCCCTCGTTGCGGTTCGGACCATCCTGCCTACCCGGGGTGCTAGCCCGGACGACTTCTGGGCCGGATGCTTGGCGTGACACCGGATCAAGGATTAGGTTTGGCTCTGTTACCAACTGTAATGGGTGAGCGCTTACCCATTTACCCAAAAGCTCGAACTATTGGGTAGTACTGCATACCCACCTATTTATACCTAATCACTTTCCCATCCGATTTTGATGGGGGACAAATAACCCTTATTATACCTAACTAGTAGGCGAAAATATCATTTTCCAATAAGTAAATCATTTGATTTTTTTATTTTTTTTTATTATTATTTTAATGCGCCACGAGTGCTGATGAATGATGATATGACATCGGATGCTAATTGAACCACTAAATAAATTAATGATAAAGCCCACTAAAATTGATACATTTTTAGTTACGTGACAAAATATAATTTGTTGATGATAGTTAAGGTACTCCTCGTTCTGTCCCTAATCAAATTACTACAGAATTCACATACCAGACGAATATATTGGGCAATTTCACACCTCTAATTTTTATTTTTTTTAAAGAGCATAAATTTGTAAACACTTTGATTTTCTTTCTTCTCATATAGCAAGTTGGAGATTAATTTTGAAAACCCATAGAAATCTAATAAAAAACAAAGAAGAAGGAGAAGCACAAATTTTGGATCATTCTCTAAATTCTTAACAAATAAACAGGACTCTGTACCCAATAATTATGCTTGCAAGAGAATTATAGAATGTAATGCATCTATTATAGTTTCCAAGAGAAACCCATTTGGTGGTTTGAATTTTTATAGCCAAAACAATTGAAGTTCTACATCAACTGAACAATTAAGTAAACATACAAATGTTGACAGCAATTCAACCTAAAAGTTTTCTCTAATAATTCTCACTCAGCTTCCTCCACAGATGCTTCAATGCGAAGAAGAACAAAACCCACTGCAACTCCTACGAGCACGAGGCCATTCATGATCGCCGCAATCCTGAATATCTCGCCGACGGCGTTGCAGGTGGAGGAGAGAGCTCCCCCACCTCTTCCTTTGCCCTGTGATGGCAACTTCAGAGAGCTAACTACCTTTGCAAAGGACTGCTCAGTGCAAACAGGAAGGCCTAATGAGGCCACATTGTTTTGGGCCTTAAGGCCACCAAAAGAGTTCAGCCCACTAATGTAGTGTACTTTGGGCTCTCTCCTCTGCGTGGCCCGGCCAGAACCAGCTGCAGTGATGAATGTCGCCGGAGAAAGTGTCGCCGATGCCGTCGCCATTTTATCTCAACCACAACCTAAAAAGACCAAACATATATGTGAAGAATTGTACAAAGTTAAATTATTATTAATTTTTTTAAAAATAATAATTTAACTGTTACTAACTATTTAATAGCACATATAGAGATTGAGAATTATGACAAATGTGAAGTGTTTATTTGGAGTAAAGAGAGGAATATAGATTACCTGTGTTTGTTATGGTTCTGAATGAGAGAGTTGCTAAGTTTTGTTGGAATGAATATAGGAGGATGAGGAAGAGAGAGAGAGAGAATAGAGTTTGTATGGGGAGAAATGAGAGAGATTGGATAAGGTGGAGTGTGGATGGTTGGTTGACAAAGGCGATTAGATGGCCTTGGTTTTTAAGAGAAAGAGATACTTTAAATGCCACTCAAGCAAAAGTGGGGCATAGGGCTTTGTAAAATTGAATTTTTTTTTTTTGGAAGTTCATTGACATTGAATTTTTCGTACAAGTATATCTTATCTTAACGAACATCAATGCCACTTGGTAATAACTAATAAAAATAACTTTTAATGATGTTTTATTGTAAACTCAAATAGGAAGTGTTAGTTAAATAAATCAAAATATTTAATATTAGTTAACTTAGGATCCTAGTATAATGATAAAGACTCCCACTTTACATAATTTTAAAGGTTGGAAGTTCAAATTCTTTGGAACAACTTAAAAAAATTAATTAGTGGCACGTGTATGTGGGACAGATGCATTACACGTAGGGACGTAGTCAAAATTTCAATTCAAGGGCACAATACAAAAAAATTATAAAAAAATAAAAGAAGAAGAAGAATTTTAAGAAATAGAATAAAAAGTAAAGAAAAACTACATAATTTTGAAAAGAAAATAATTAGAGCAAGATTTACCTTTTTAAAGGAAATTAAAGGAATTCAAAGAGAGAAAGTGGGAATAAAAAAGTTATTAGATTATTTGAGAAATTAATAATTTTAGGGGGCACCATATAAAAAATATCATATATGTAAGGAAATTAAAAAGAAAAAATCATATATATTATAAGGGCAGGGGGCACATGCCCTTGGCAATACACTGGCTCCACCCCTCCCTATTGTATGTGCCCAACATTCAATTATGAAATGTTCTAAGAAGTCTGAGATGAGCTCATGAAAAAGAAAGAAAATAGTTAATAAAAAAAGACAAAATTAATATTCGTAGTAAATATTTATTTCATTCACACTAATATCCGTTGAGTTATAAGGATCAACTCAAAGTCAATTATCTCATAAATAGTTGGAAGGAACCAAAAGAGACCCTATTTATTTAATGGAGAAGAGTAAAAAATATCCCTAAAATATACAACGCATACTACTTTTATCCCAGTTTAAAAAAATATGCAAAAAATACCCTTAATTTTTTCATATTATGCAAAAATACCCTCTCTAACATGTTATTCTTCTGAAAATGCCCAAGGGGTATATATGCAACTAATCTCATAGTATAGGGGTGTTATGTGTACATTACTTTATATATATATATATATTTTTTTTTGAAACTTTTTTCTCTATATATATCTCTAAATAATTTTTTTTTTTTTTTTAATTTTGAGAATTTGTAGAATAAAGATTTGAATTTTTTTAAATTCCAATTTACTCTTTTCTCCTAATTTTTTTTCTTTATTTTATTTTTTTTTGGTACCAACACTTTTAAACCAAATAAATAAATAAAAATCCCAATATCAGCGTGCACCGATTTTCAAAATTTAGAAAAATTTTGTTTTCTTTAGTTGCAGTTTATTTTTGTTTTTAATTTTCTATTTTTATCTTTACTTTTCTTTTATACATTTATTTTTATTTTATATTTTATCTTTACTTGTCCATTGCCGGCGTCCTCCAATAGTGTCATTTTCGGTCATTTTATAAAATTATTTATTTATATATTTTATAAAATGGTTAAGGGTAATTTAGTCAACTTAGGGTTTAAATTTGTCAGAGAGACTTATTTGCACCATATTGGAACTTTAATAGTGTTTTTTTAATCGAGAGGGGCATCATCCAATTGTGTCATTTTCGATCATTTTACAAAATTATTTATTTTTATATATTTTATAAAATGGTACAGTGTAATTTAGTCAACTTAGGGTTTAAATTTGTTAAAGAAACCTATTTGCATCAAATTAAAACTTTAAGGGTGTTTTTTGTGCGTGATGATATTTAAGGATATTTTTTGCACTTAACCTTTTATTTAAACTAATAGTTAAAAATCTTAATTCGAACCTTTTAAATTGAAGGAAGAATTGGCGGATTGGTTCATAAATTTCCGCAACACTAGAACCAGTGCTCAGAAATCATATTAGAGTCATTCAACTATTCTAGCATTAGCTAGTCTAACCAAACACTAAACTAGGAATGATTATGGTGGATGAAGATTGACCATTACATTCATACTATATTTTTGTTCTGTTTTGTATTAACAGATTTATTTCTTCTTTATTCTTTTCACTAAATACCAACTATGGACTAAAATTTTCATTATAATATCATAAGAAGAGTAATGCTTTAATGCTTTATAGACCGACAAAATAACAAGTATTTTTGACACCGGAGTTGGTCATAATTACGGAATCCAGTTTTTAGACTTCCATCTCATTTTATGTTCGCCTTTGATCACTTTGATTCTTTCAGGATTCAAGAAAGAATATACTTTTGACGTTGGAGTATGAAGTTTGACGAAAAAGTCTTTCAGCGTGCAAAAGTAAGACAATTTTCTTATATTTAATATAAATTTCAAGAGTACTCGTAAATTCATTATAGTTGTTATGAGATAGAGTTCCAAATAACTTTTACTAACCAAAAAACAAAAAAGTAATAGTAATAAAAAATAGAGAAAAATAAAGAAAAATTAGGGTTTCTTGGGCTTTGACACGATGAATCATTTTTCACTTGTAATGTGCTTCATAGTGTCATCTGAAGCCCCATGACAGGTGACAGTACAAGAAGGAGAAATGTACCGACTTTCAACGGTCATCAACCGTTGCTCTTCCCGCCAAGCAAGAACCCATCTCAATTTCAGAATTTCCCATCATCTTCCTTTCCGTACAACTCAAATTCCATATCTCCATCATCTCTCACACGCTTCGATCCTCCAAGAACTCAAAGAAATAAAACCCCTTCAACAAGTTCACGCCAACATAGTCACCTCTGGTCTCTCGCACAACATCTTCCTTTCCAACAGATTGATGAACTCATACATTTCATGTGGACTCATCGCTGATGCAGAGCAGGTTTTCCATCGAATTCTGTATAAGAATGTTGTTTCTTGGACAATTTTGATTTCTGGGTACACCAAAAATGACGTTTTCTTTGAAGCTATCAATGTCTTCAGAGAAATGATAATCAATGGCACACTACCAAATGAGGTTACCATTGCAAGCACTTTGCCTGCTTTTGCTAACTCGGGTATGGCTCGGATTGGGAAATCAGTCCACGGTTTCTGGGTACGACGTTGTTTTGAATCTAATGTGTTTGTAGAAACAGCATTTGTCAATATGTATTCAAAATTTGGATCCGTGGTTGTTGCTAGGCAATTGTTTGATAATATACCAGAGAGAAATGTTGTGTCTTGGAATGCAATTATCTCGGGTTATTCTGATAATGGGCTTGGAGAGGAAGCTGTTTGGCTTTTTAATTTAATGCGTAGAAAAGGGTTTTTAGCAGATTTCTTCACAATAATGAGCATAATACCAGCTTTTTTTAGCATAAAAAACTCACAGGTAGGAAGAGGAATTCATGTTATTACCATTAAAACCGGATTTGAGAATGATAAACTTGTTAGAACTGCCTTGATGAATATGTATGTGAATGCCAGCTGCATCGATGATGCTTATTTCATGTTCAAAGAGATGCCTGTGAAGGATGTAGCTGCATGGACCGTGATGTTAACCGGGTTCTCAAGTGGTCCGTATTGCAACAAGGCCATAGAGCATTTCAATGAGATGATGGTGGTAGAAGACTTGGAATTGGATTCTGTGGCGTTGATGGGCATACTTTCAAGCTGCAGCCATTTAGGATATTTGCAACAAGGCAGACGGTTTCACGCATTGATGGTGAAAACAGGTTTTGCAAATGATATATTCGTGGGATCTACTGTTATAGACATGTATGCAAACTGTGCAAATTTGGAGGATGCAAGAATATTTTTCGAAGAGATGGAGGTAAAAGATGTCGCGTGCTGGAATGCAATGATTGCTGGTAATGGGATGAATGGATATGGCAAAGATGCAATTGCTCTGTTTTTGCAGATGAAGGGTTCTGGCATAAATCCAAATGAATCAACTTTGGTCAGTGTCTTGTGTGCTTGTAGTCATGCTGGGATGGTTGATCAAGGACTCCATATTTTTTATCATATGTATAGAACTTGGAACATAGTTCCGAACTTAAAGCACTATGCTTGTGTCGTTGATCTTCTTGGCCGTGCAGGACGACTAGGTGATGCTTATTTGTTGATTAATAACATGCCTTTGCGTCCGGATTTTGAGGTATACGGTGCCCTGCTTAGTGCTTGTAGAGTTCATGGTAACATCGAATTGGGAATTGAGATTTCACATAAACTTTTTGAGTTAGATCCACATGATGCTGGATATTATGTATTGCTCTCAAACATGTATGCCTTGGCAGGAGATCAAGAGGGCGTAAGGTTAGCCCGGATATCATTGAGATCGAAGGGGTTGAAGAAGGATCCAGGGATTAGTTCAATTGAGATAAATAGAGAAATATATACATTCTATGCGGGAGACAAGGATCATCCTCAATACTTGGAAATTTGTAGGATTTTGAAAGGCTTAATCTCTAGAATAACAGAGGCAGGTTATGTGCCCGATACAAAATTTGTATTTCAGGATGTTTTGGATGATACGAAGAGGGATATTCTATATCACCACAGTGAGAAGTTGGCTGTTGCTTTTGGGTTCATGAGAACCAAGCCAAGAACAATCATTCGGATAACAAAGAATCTTCGCACCTGTAATGATTGCCACTCTGCAATCAAGTATATTTCGAAGATTTATGGAAGAGTTCTTGTTGTTAAAGACACTAATCGCTTCCACATTTTTCAAGATGGAGTTTGTTCATGTAAGGACTATTGGTAAATTTGAGAACAGGTGTTGATTGTAAATTTAGGGCGGCAAGTTGGGCAGTCTCAACCCAACCTCAACCCGAAATCGGGTTGTGTTGGATCAGTCCGAAGTATATCCAAAAATGGGTTATGTCCATCACCAGAACTTAAAGGAAAATGTAATTTGCATGAAAAGATTTTCTTAGTGAGAAAAAAAAAAAAAAAATTTTACTGTAGCATTTAAAAGATTATATATAGTGACATGTTTGAAGGATGTGTGAAAGTCAGTCATGTCCCTTTCTAGTTTCTTTGAATCTGAAGAAAATTCAGATTAAGTTCTGAACAAAAACCTGATAAGTATTTTTCTCTCTAATTTATTCTCTCTGTTTTTAAATCTTTTACTTAGACTCAACCGTGGTATAAATTAATGCTCTGTTACTCTAATTTTATCCTTTTTATTCCTTTTTAGTTTTAGGCCATTGTTAATTTGGAACTTCTTAGACTTAGATTTTGTTAAAAGTGTTACTTTTGTTAAATGCTATAGTATTTTTTTTTTTGACATCTCCTGAAAGCCCACAATTAAATGGTTGTATTGGAGATGATGAAAATACGATTTTCAGAATGATATTGAGTTGAAAAAGTGGTAAAAAATTTATAAATACAATCCATCCACCAAAAATTTTAAAATTTTGTTTTTGATAGTTTATTTATTTTTTTTTTCGGCAAAGTGGCAGTTTTTGAAATAAATTATTGGGTTTTCAGGGGATGTAAAATGATTTTCAAGAGATAATATTTTGCTTATTTGTAAAATAAAATAAAATAAAAATTTTGTAAGAATTTTAGAAAAACAAAATAGGATGTGGGCGTCAATTGATTTGGGTTCAAATTGATTAATTTGGAGTTGTGGGTTGGGTTCGGATTGAACCCAGTCCAATCCAAACCCAACTCAATTTGAGCCCGGTTTTTGAATTTAAAAGCCAAGTTTAAAATTTTTGGGCTGGACTAGCCCTCCCAAGTTGCACTCCTAATTGCAATTAATCTTGATCAGGTAACCCATCATATACTCTGTTGTATCTACAAATTCTAATCTTTATCGTGTAATATATCTTAAATACTAGTTTATAAAACTACATTTATAATTTTATATATTCGTAGTACTTTTGTAACTGAGTGTAGGTTTAGAACTCACTTGGTTTGTAACTCTGAAAATAGTTCTAAAAAATTTAAAGAACAAAAAACAGCTTTCAGAGAACAATAAAAGACGGTTATATGAAAAAGACATTTTTATAATTGAATTTTTAGAAAATAATTTTCAGAGGCAATAAAAGACAGTTCTTTGAAACAAACATTTTTATAACTGAGTTTTCAGAAAACTGAACCAAATAGAATTTTTTTTGTACAGTTTTCTATTTTTAGTTTTTGTTCTCAGGAGAGTTATAAACCAAGCAAAGACATTACTCTCCAAATTTGATTTAGCAAAAGGTAAATTCAAAAGATAATATTATCTATGTTGCCAAAACAAAAGAAATCTAATTCTTTTATTAGACAGGGAGCATCTCCAATGGCCTCTCAAATGACTTCTCAAACTCAAAATATAACAAGTGGATGAAAATAAGGCACTCTAATTGTCTCTCAAAACACCTCTCATATTTTGAGATTGTAAAAGTATTGCTAAATATAGTAGTTTTCAAATGGCTTTTCAAACTCAAAATATAGCAAGTGGATGAAAATAAGGCACTCCAATGAGTTCTTAAAAGACCTCTTATATTTTGAGATTATCAAAAGTTGCTAAAATAAAAATAAGGCACTCCAATGAGCTCTCAAAATATGAAATGATTGTTAGGTAAAAAATTAACATTTTGGATAAAATGAACCATTAAAGTAGAATTGTAAAAATATATCATTTTAACACTGTAATTACTCTAAAAATATAAATTTAAGTATAAAATATAATATTTTGCATTGAAAATAAGCTAAATCCATATTGATTCATCCCATGTTGATTCTTTTGATATAAGCTAAATCCATATGGTCCTTGGAGAAAGTAAAACAGGAAATTTTTGTTCTAAAAAGTTGAGAGAAAAAAAGTTCAGAAAACACCAGTAGTCTCATCAAGCTTTGTTCAGTTGAGTCGATTTTAGTGTATCAATTGTTATACCGATAGATTCTCCTTTCCCTGTTTTCCTATTTTCTTGTAAATCTGAAAATTTTGAACTTTTGTAGAGAGCTGATAGACAGAAAGACTTGATCAACAGAAGGTAGGCAAAAGAACTGCAGACAGGTCTTTTCTCTTTTCTTGGTTTGATTTTGTCTTTTATTTAGTTCCTCCTTTCATACCCAATATTTTAGGAGCACAATTTAAATCCTCTTTCTAGGGTCTGTGGATGAAGGAATATTAACAGTACTAATTGCAGAAATATTAACAGTACTAACACTTTTTCTTACAGATTTAGGAATCTGTTATGTTTTGTGTAAATTACACCTGCCTCTCCAAAAGTTTGGTCAATATATACGGACTTCTCCTGCTATTTGTCAAATTACATTGACCTCTCTGAGTTTGTATTTTATTGCAATAAACATGTCTTCCAATAATAGAATTGGAATTTGGAAGTTAGAAAATTTCTAACATCAGCATTTTCCATCGTTAACCATATTGATTGTTAACGAAAGGAAGGTATGTGTTATTTACATACAAATCTCAAGGGGTAAGCTAAATTTGACAAACAAGGGGGCAGGTCAGTAGGGAGATCAATGTAATTTACCTCTGTTTTATTATCTCTCTCTAGGAGTATATATTGTCAGTTAAATGTTCCTTACTGAAGGATATTTTGGAATTTAAAATGGTAGTTTACCTATCAAAAAAACGTTAGTGCAGGGAGGTGAACTTTGCTATCACATGCAATGGTCCATCTTTGATGGCAAATAAAGCAGCATGTTGATTTTTAATGTAAATATATAATGAGGAAAAATTGGCAGAAGAAATCAGTTTCACTCACTAGACCACTTAAATTATGAGTTTATTTATTTATTTATTAATATCTTTCTTCAAATTGATAATATCAGTTTTTTCCTTTGTGATCTCTGTTAACATTTTAATTATTTTCTTTGCTGATGCATACAGGTGGATATGCTGGAAGAGGAGGGACTTATAACTGGAATTGAAGAAAGTGGAGACTTGATTGCACCACTATTAGGTAATGGTCTAACACTAAATTTAAGCTTCCATATTAAACTAAAACATGAGGGCACAGTACAAGATATCACAAAAACTTGAGTTTGTGGACTTCTATATAATCTTGGATTTCTATACAATGTACTAAAGAGGATATACATTAAAATTCTCTTAAAATGGTATTGTGTTCTTTTCTTGTTTTCCTTTTTTATGGATTATTTTTTTTCCCAAATATTTTGGTTCTTGGTTTCCCTGTTTTGAATGATATATTATTGTTGCAATGAATAATAAATTTTTTCCCTATTCTTCATTCTTGCGACAATTTGCATCTTCTTCACACTACAACAAGAAAGAGGCTTATTAGCTTTGACCAATGTTGTTGCTAATACATAATTTTACACTAGTGTAATTAAGCCAAGTAAAAATCCTCTGTAATTTCTTCTCTTCTAACTTTGGCAAATTAATTCCTTTCTCTTTTACATTATACATCTCCTGGCTATATTGGGTTTTTGGCTGGTCCTGTTTCAGGTTGATGCAAGAGTAACATTCTGAAAGGATACTTTTTCTTGAGCATCTAGAATCACTAGTAAATAATCAGGTTATATAAGTTAAGTATATGAAAATCTCAAGATTTTACATCTTTGGTCCATCAGTGCAACATGTGTAGGGATGGCAACGGAGGCTGTTTTGGGTGGGTGTACCCTCCCCCACCCCCACAACAGTTTAGAAACCCTCGCCCCGTTCTTGTCCAAAACCGTTGAAACGGGGGTCTTTCCACCCCATTCCCATCCTGTTTAACTTTTTTACCCCCGCCCAGCCTCGTTTAGTTACAGAATTTTTCTTCCTTTTTAAATGTTTTTCCTCAAATACAATTATATTACTGAAAAAATTCATAAAAAATGGACAATCAATAATTTAACATAAAATTCAAGGGCATGAGCATTCTTAGTTCGTAGGGCTTTGCCGTTCTCTAGAACGGCTGAGAAAATGAGTGAATGTGTCCTAAGATTTCTAGAGCTAACTATAATACTAATAAAATAAGGATAATTTAGTAATTTACCTACCTAAACGGGACGTGGTGACCCCCCTAACCCGGCAAGTTTTCATTAATAAAAAACCATCCCCGCCCAAGCTAAACGATCCCCCAAAACCGTTATAAAAAGGGCGGGGGTGGGGCGAGTACCCGTCCCGCGGGACAAATTGTCATCTCTAAACATGTGTTAGGGTCACTTCACTGTATGTGTATCTGTTTAGATCATAATGAACCTCAAGAAGCTATCCAGAATTTAATGCATTCAACCATTCATTACAGGGTTGAGTTTATTTAAATGATAAGCGACCAAAGCATGCCAAGAGACAGATCATGAAAAAGACATATGATGCAGACAGATATGAACAATGTATGGAAGAGTTCAAAGAGGTCATTAAAAAAGTGCTGGTACAAAGGCGCGAAAGTGTTTGTTCAGCCAAAAACAGAACCATAATTCTAAAACAAGTTTTGACGACATAACTGAGAAGTTGTAAGAGCTTGCAAGATAGAAGGCCTCAGGGTTACTCTATTCTGATCGGAAAAAATGGACCTTCATTTCTTGTCTATCCACCAGCCCGAATATGCAGCCATCGCCTGACTTGAGCAGGTTATCGCTTACAAAAGCACGCCAACCTTCAGAAAAAGAATAACTATGACCAGAAGCACGAGGAACCATGTTCACTAGCCAAGCTCTTCCCTCTGGATTCTGCAGCACAATCTTCGATTTGGATTGAGGAAGATGCTTTTTAGAGAAGGACTTGGGAATGGACTGCAAAAACAGTAACTAAATAAGCTTTGTATTAAACATGAAACATGTGCTATAAAGCGAAAAATTACTAATAAAATAGATATTCGTGCATGAAGCTATGTTATCTTTTGCATTGGTTTCTCCATTCAAAAATTATCTCCAAAAAGTGAAAGATATATGAATCAATAGAAACACTAACATTTGATTTGTACAAACAGAAACACTATACAGTTCTTTAGAATAAGATGACGGCGAAACTAAATTTCATGATCTGAGTAAACATTATTTCGTTGAACTTACAGCCAGACTCGTGCAGACACTACTAGTTAGTAATTAGATACTTCTGCTTCTTGCATTTTATGAACGACATGATAAACGCTATTTACTAATGACATATGGTTATATATTGATATCAAAGGAAGGATAACAACAAGGGAAGATATAATATAATAGATATTTAGGGTTTTAAATCAAATCAAACCAATAGAAAAGAACTTATCAGTTGCTGTTATTATCACGAGCGAGAAAGGACAACAGTTGTAGACAATATTGTGCTTAATCATAGGACAACAGTATAGTTTATGATTATAACTAATAGAAAGGAGAAAATGTAGCATCATACCAGCATAAACACTCTTTTTGTATGGTAATCTTGAAGAAAACTTTTAAAATATGGAAATTTGGAGGTGAAAGAGAGAAATTTTTTTGAAATCCCTAATCTCACTTCTTCATTTAGAGACCCCTTTCTTCCAAACCTGCGTTTACTACCTGAATTGGCTTCCTTTGCTTCAACGGGGAGTTCCGTTTCCCCTGTTTCAATTTTCACTCCAATGCCTTTCCCTTTCATTTCTTCAGCATTTTCCGATTTGCAATCTGGAAGGTGTTGATCTGCATCACATACAACACAGCAGAAATGTATCACCAGGTTCCAATACTGGTTTGTCGTTTATGTAAGTGCAATTTAAAACCCCATATATTCTAGAAACAAAGTAATATTTGTAATTTCCTATTAAAAATCGATAACAAAGAGAACATTAAGGGCCTCCTTGGTTCAGTTTTTTTTAAAACCGAAGACTGTTTTCACATAAAAGACAGTTCTATGAAAACAGACATCTTTTAAACTATTTTTTAAGAAACTGATTTTCAGAAACCGTCAACGAAAACAGATTTTCAGGAAACTTAAAGAAATCAATTTTCAAAAATTGTCAACGGTCTTTTGTAATTCTCTAAAAACTATTTTATGTTTTCAGAGTACTCGCGATCTGTGAGTTAATCTTCGTGCTTATGAGGGAAAACATTATGTTCTTCCAAATACATAAATATACCAATTTCAGAATGCTTCGAGGGACGGAGTTGCAGAGGTTTCCTTGGTCTGCCCCGTCTCCTTTTTCCGGCAACAGGTACATCAGCCCTCTTACATCCACTCTTATCAAAGATCTTCACATTGAAACACAAATTCCCATCATATCTGAAAACCAAGAACTCATTGTCACCCAATGAGTTATCTCTCAGAAACTCCTTCCAACCATCTTGTAGATACATGCTGCCATGTGCATTTTTCACTAGTCTGAGGTTCCAATTGCCACCATTAGGACCATTTATAGTCACCTTATCACTCACTTCCTCAGATATATACTTCACAAAAGCTGGCGGGATTCTCTAAAAAAAATACAAATTATATATATATATATATATAATAAAAATAAATAAATAATTAGAAAGACATCATTTTGCATCAAGAACTGAACCTAATATGTAGCACTAAGATTAACATGAATTTTAAAGAAACAATAACAAGGGTATTTTTTAATTGTCTCATAAGTACAATTAACGCCATTATTTATATGCATTGGTGGTATAAAACTATAAATTTTCATGAAAATTTAAGTAGATTAGATGGGTTTTAGATCTAATGAACATCATTCAAAACAAATCATATATTTCAACAAAAATAGAACAGAATCAACTGACCCTACTTACCCAAAAAAAAAAAAAATCGACAACATAGCACAGAGAGAGAGAGAGAGAGGGTTACCAGATGTTGAATGGGATGATCAGCAAAGATGATCTTGAAGAAGGTCGGCCTTTTATCTTTAATCAAACTGCTGGGCTTTCGTTTCACCATTGTTGTTGTGAGATTGAAGGATTCTTGGTGGTAACGCCAACATGCACATAGAGAGAGAGAATAATTAGATATAGGAGTATATATAAGCTAAACGTGCGCTCATTGGGCATTTGATTAGCCTTTAACTATGTCTTACTGTAATAAATAATATGAGGCAATATTTATTTATTTTATTTTTAAAAGAATAAGGGTTATAAATTAGACTAATAAATGTAGAAAGTCAAAATATGACACTTTAAAGTTCATGAGGTATTTATAATAGGGGCTGATATTAGCACTTCACTTTGATATTAGCACTCCACTTTTTTACAATTGCACACTTTTATTTCTAATTTTTTTTTTCTTAATTGATACTCACACATACATTTATGCTTTCACTGATATTCGAACCCCTGACCTCCCTTTAGGAAGTAGGGACCTGATACCGCTAGGTCACATACTTGTTAATTTTTAATCCTAATTTTATAAATAAATAATTATTATTTTTCAATGCCAAATATATCTTGGTCTCACCCTCTCCCCCTAATTAAAGTTCAAGGGGGCTATTATTATTTTTCAATGCCAAATATATCTTGGTCTCACCCTCTCCCCCTAATTAAAGTTCAAGGGGGCTACATTAGTACTCCATTTTTTAACAGTTGGGCACTTTTATTCCTAATTTTATAAAATAAATAATTATTATTTTTCAAATTCATTGTCTACTTTGTATTAATTAGCTTCTCTCTCCTTCTATTATTATTTTTTCAATGGTAAAAAAACACACACTCAATTTATTTCTTTGGAGACTCAAAACCCTCACCATCCACCCTGGGAGGTAGAGGAGATACTAAGGGTGAACAAATAGTCCGTCAATCGTCAATCCGATCTGAACCAATCCGTTATTCGCTTAATTGACGGATTCGGCCCTGAAAAAAACCGATTTGATCCGTTAACTGAACTAATATGATTTGTTACCTTAATGATATATTAATATATTATATATATATAACTATATATATACAATATACTTACTGTATTTCTATTTTTTTTAATTATTATTTAAGACTTTTTAGTTTTGGATGATTTACAACTCTATTTTGTTATTAGGTTATGAAGGAAAAATTATATATTGATGATTAAAATTAAACATAATTGGTGTAAAGTCACCATAAAGTCAAGAAAAGATGAATAGTCACCAAACCTAAAACTTAATTACTAATAAGTAACCATTTGGTGGTTTATTACTTTAATGATCTTCCTATAATATATTATTATATAAGTGGACAAATTTACCCTCTACATTAAACTAAATAAACACTTACTTAAATTGACTAACAAAGAGACGACACATTATCAGGGTAGGTCTCTGAAGAGAAGGCCAAGATGGGAGAGAACTGAGACGGATGTTCTACATCATTTTCTTCAAGGTTCTAAAAGGCAGGACGATAAAATTGTAGATATAGTTATTATATTTTACAAGTTGATTTGTTTGACAGATCTTCCTTAAGATAAAATATTATAATTTTTTAATACATAGTTATTTTACTTTACAAGTTGATTTGTTTGAAAGATCTTCCTTAAAATATAAGATTGTAATTTTAGGAATTTTTCAATACTACTGAGTTATAGTTTAAGAAATAATGACCATTATTGATTAATTTCAGAATTTTACCTGGGTATTTCAAAAGTATGCATATCTATGGTTTGCAAAATATGAAGTTGTTGTAAGAGTTGTTATTGAGATTGCTTGGGCTTTGGAACACTTCGTATCACCCAATTATATTTCGGTTTTTGAAAGTGAATATATTACTTTAGACATTATCATTAGTTCATGTCTCAAAATTAGATTACTTTGTTATGCACTTCATTTATTTGTTAAAATGCTTGAAAAACTACATATTAAGGATTGTACTCGGCTCTTACACACATGACTAATCCACAACCCTAATTTAACTAAAAAGCCTTTTTATAGCCTTAATCACATCCGATAGCTGGGACTTTAGAATCATTCCGAAAAGGATGATATATTAAAGCAACAAAGTGAGAAGGGACCCGCCTCTATAAAGAACATTTGGGATGGATCTTCTTTTCTTGATTTGCCATTGTAAATATTATATTTCATGGCGGAAAGCCTTGGAAAAGAAAGAGGGGTGGAAAAGAGATAATGTTCATAAATAAATCCTAATTTTTTTAATTGGTAAATTTGAAACCAAAAAGGAAAAAAGAAAACGTTAGATGTAAGAGAGAGAGAGTAGGAGGATGAATTTAGTGAGTTATTAATTTATTATTTGTATTGGATAGTAATTTTGTCATCTAAAATTTATTTTTAAAATGTTTATCAAACCTTTAAATGTTTTTGACCAAATTATCCTTAAATAGTCACTTAATATCAATTAAGTTTTAACATTAATCACTACGCATCTTTTATTGACTTTAAGGTCACTATAGAGTAATTATGTTTAATTTTGATCACCAAAATATAATTTTCCCTTAAAGGGTTATGGTAATTTTCCCGAATTTGATATTTTAATGAGCCATAAAGTGTAATCATGGGCGGTTTGAAAAGCCCAATACCTGGAAACCAAACCGATCCAATCCATTATTCACGGTTCGGTTTGGTTTGGATTGAAGATACCCACGGATCGGTTTGGTTCAGTTCGGATTGAAGGTCCCCACGGATCGGTTGGATTTCAGATTTCACTAATCCGTGGGGACTGGATTGGATTGAACTTTATCCTCAAATCGAACCGATTTGATCCGTGATCAGCCCTAGGAGATACCACTAGGCCACAAGGTTGTTCGTCTTAGAGTTTAACATTGATCTTTGTATGTAATAATGGAAAATCTCACAAATGAAGAAATGGTTGAGTTAAATAAAGTAATTGATCTTGTTAGTACAAAAAAACATGCAAGAACTATCAAAACTTCATAGCGACTTCAATTCCATTGATGCAAATGGTGATGATAATTTTTCCTTTTATTTTTCTTTTGGTATTGTGTGCTTTGAATTTTTAAGAATTAATTTGGAATGTATTTAATATTCATGTTGATGATAAAAGCCCTAATTATTTTGATAATAAAATTTAAAGAACATGGTTTTTGTGGAAAAAATGAAAAAAAAAAAAAGAAGAAGAAGAAAAGAGAGAGACGATATTATATACAAAAAAATTCTTGTTGATGATAAAAGCCCTAATTATTTTGATAATAAAATTTAAAGAACATGGTTTTTGTGAAAAAAAAAAAAAAAAAGAAAAAGAAAAGAAGAGAGAGACGATATTATATACAAAAAAAGGTGAAATATAAAAATAAAAAAATTATCTTTTATTATATTAACTACCGAAAAAAGGCGATATTCGCACTCCCTTGTTATACTCTACTCGCCTTTTTCTTAAAAAAAAAATTAATAAAATGGTCTTTAAATGCATTAATGCATCATCTATTATATTAAAATATCATAACTATCTTTTGTACCATAAACTTTAACTTTTATTTACCTTATTTATTTTCTGGAATATAAAGAATTAAAATATATATATAGGGGCAAAATTGTCTTTTTGCACATTTAAAAAGGTATAATTGTACCTAAATGATACTAATTTTCGAAAGATATTTTAATGTGATATTTGGTCAAATCTTTTGGGATGTTAGTAAAATTAATGAATTATTTTATTGGGTTGTAACCTATTTTTATTAGAGAGAGAGAGAGTAATTTTGGAAAGATTTTTTAATGTGGTATTTGTTCAAAACTTTTGGGGGTGTTAGTAAAATTAGCGGATTATTTTATTGATTTGTAACCTATTTATATTAGGGAGGGAGGGAGGGAGGGAGAGAGAGAGAGAGAGAGAGAGGATTGAGTTCTTGGCATAAAAAATTAACTCATTCTTATAAGTTCGTTTGCCTGTTTTTTTATTCTGTAGTTTGAGCATGTTAAGATTATAGTTCGATTTTTGGGTGGAAATTATTCCCTCGGATATTTGACATTATGGTCAGCGTACTTTTCATATAACACTATTATCTCTGGATTAACAAATTTATTTATTTGAAAATTCTATATATTCGGTAAGCTTATGACTGAAAACAATTTTTTTCTTTTTTTGGGTTAAATATAAATGTTGAAATAAGTCTTGTCATTGCTGGCAATAAATTCATATTTCAAAATTGAGATTAGAGAAAGTAATTTAACACATAGTAATACTCCTCTCTCATGAGAAAAACTATGAGTTTTCCTTTGATGAATTAAGTAATTGATTTGATTTTTCACACATTAAAAAAAAAACTGTTTCATCCAATAATTAAAACAGGAGAGTTTATGACTTTTTTCATGACTTTTCACACATTTTAAAAAACTATTTCATCCAATAGTTAAAACTGGAGAGATCATGACTATTCTCGTGAGAGTTCTTCTTTGGAACATTATTCTTTAACATATAGACTAAAATGATTTTTGCTTACATGGATTCCATTTTTCCAAATAGCATGTAATTATAATGATGAAAATTTTCTTAGATAATAATAAAAAATTAAAAAAAAATGTGGACCAAATTCGAACTGCTATAAAAATAACGAAAAATATAAAAAAAATTTCTCAGGTTCAAAGATGGATTATGTCAATTTCTTACATCACCCTAACTTTAAGGAGAAATTATTACTACCTCTGCCCTATATTAGGGGTCCATTTTTAATATTATACTATCTCTCCTTCTCTCATATTAGTTGTCCACTGTCCCATTTTAGGGGTACCAAATTAGTTGTTCTAAATATTTGACAAGTCAAAGCAAGAAAATATTATTTATTATAATTTTAAAAAAGAAGAATGCATTAATTACTTATCTTAAAGTTGCTAAAATCTTAAAAAAGAACAATGCATTAAAATTACTATAATTTTAAAAAAGAACAATACATTAATTACATGCCTTAAAGTTACTGTAATTTTAAAAGTCAACAGCTAATAAGTGATGAATGAGTGATTCTAGGTGCGGCGAGGCGCACTATGTCACTAGTACTTTTTTTGAAATAGCACAATATCATTAAATAGATACACGAATGACATAAAACTAATTTTTTTTAAAGATATACAACTAATTACTTAAATTCTTATGTTCCGAGTCATGAACGCATATGAATACAACTTGAGATCTTATCCAAGCCCTTAATAAAATAAAATAATCATTTCAAGATAACGAAGTTAAGCTATACAAGTATAATGGGGTCCATATTCAAGTTATATTAATCATTTAAGAACATTACATAGGTTCCTACGCAGTTTGGAAAACTTTGAAAGGACAAAGGAAGTACATAATCAAAAAAATTAAACCACCCATTTGATGACATGTCCACCCGACCATGTAATAATTTTTGGGCTTTTCAGGACATTCAACAGCAGTTACTCTTGACTGTGCATGCGTGTATTTTTAAGTGGGGGAAATTAATTTTACTAAAAGATTCAGCAGCAACAGTGATTTCCAAAAAGGAATATGATTCAAAATGATTTCTTGAAATAGAAAAAGAAAATTAAAAAAAATATATGAAAAGAGGCACCAACACACATGAAAGAAGAGAGACTATAACTGCTTGTGAATTCTTTCACTCTCCCTCCAACAATTAACCACACAAATCGATGCAAAATCCAGGTCAACTGCTGGAGTAGATAGTGTTACACCAAAGATGACTTCTGTACAGATTGTAAATGTAGATTTTCTGTACACACTTAGAATGAGAGGCAGAGAGGGAAGGTGTTATCAACATACCAGAGAAAAATTTACACACTTTTAGAGATGGATCCCGTCGTTTGTAAAATGAACACTACTGGATCGGGGTGAAAAAAAAAAAAAAAAAAAAAAAAAAAAAAAAAAAAAAAAAAACAGAAAAAAAAAAAAAAAGGAAAAGAAAGCCAGTAAAACCCGTGGAAACTAACGGGCGAAAATCATGTGACCTTGGCAAAACTTGAATTAAGACGACATTTTGAGCCTCATTATAGTTGGGAAGTTAATCATCCCAATCTCGAATGGAGTAGCTGTATGTGAAAAAAGTTAAAACTCGTCAACTGCCTATACAGGTTTAACACGCATCTTCTTGTGAACATCCAGCAGGAGATCCCGCAGCTCGGGGAAGACTGATATGAGTATCAATTCAAGTATTCCATATGCAAGTTGCTTCAAACAGACTTCAGACTGCAATTTAAATAAACCACAAGCTACTTGTTGGTCACAAAAGAAACTGATAAAGAATGAAAAGTATTCACATTGCATGTGCATTTTGTGCAAAGGTCTATAGGAGGTTTTACCTGGAGGAAATAATATATGTCTTTTGCACAACGCTTGTACTGCTTCTGCCCTATCAAGCTGACCAGAGCAGTTGGAGATCCATCTGACCAAGGAGAAAGAAAAAAGAAGAATTTATTTTTACTAATTATATTTTCACAAGAATCTACAGATCATGTGTATCAAACAAATGAAATACTAAAAAAGGAATGTGATTATGATTTTTCATAAAATTCTACTACTAAGACCCCTTTCGTATGACTGCTAGTAAAAAGTGGCGTAGTAATGCTCAGATATAGTCTCTGGGAAGGATCTTCCAATTTAGCAGTCTTGTAGATTATTTTTAATTCATGCTATTATTATTATTATTGTTTTTTTTAGTGGGGGAATGTATAAAGCCACTTCAACCTTTCTCAGCTTGAGAATAAATTTATGACAACAGGAACCTCGGCCATTCATAAGGCCAAAAAAGGTCCTCCCATAGCTTTTATTAGTTGTGTAAAAGTTTCAGTGGCTTTGTTTCGCACAGGAAACTTAGGCAGACTGTGAAATGGACTAGCATTAGAAGCAACCAATCAACCCAGAAGTGCCCAAATCTAGGTTTGAAATATTATACATGTACAAAACATAATTAAAGTAGCCAATCAGATAGGAATTAATCTGCAATCGGATGGGAATTAATTGAATTTCATTCTTCAAGCTTAAGGAGCTCTAATATCCCTTCAAGAACCAGGTTTCTCAAACACTAGGCACAACCCCAGCTATGGCAAGCAAAGTTACAGGCACATATTTAAGAATGCATGATGTAGCGCACAATAGAGTAGTTATAACGAAAATGCAGGAAGAAAGAAACAAAAATCCATAAAACAGGTGTATTTAGAAGGAAGAAAAGATTGGAGATATAAAAGGAGAACGTAAGAAAAAAAAGCGTTAAATTTCACTCACAGTTTCACTTGCAAACCTATACTACCTCTGATTTCCTATTTCTTCAACAAATTTGAAGAGGAAGGGGAAATCATCATTATAAAGTAAAAAGAAATCTCAGCCAAACAAATATTAAATAAATAAGTAAATAAAGAAAAGGGGAAAACATCCACCCCCAAAACAAAAAAAAAAAACAATTAAAAAAAAAAAAAAAAAAAAGGTCGGAAAAATAAAATGAAAATTTGTAGTGCCTTCAGTACATTCTTTATTAGGGTTTTCCTTTTTCGTTTTATGATAAGAAAATTTCCTTACGAGGATTGGAAGCTTGGATTATAACTTATAATCTGATTATATGTAGCAGTGAATAACACGCGAAAGGAGTGTTAAATGGAAACTTAAATAACGAATTAATTGAAGAAACTTTCATCAAGAAACCAAAACAACATTACATTAATAAACTCCCAATCTTGTATGAACTACAACACAATCCCAGATTATTTAAGGCCATGAAACAGTCACATACTGAACTTTCAGACTATATACATTTCAATATAAAAATATATTAACAGAGATCATCTTTGTCTGGTAAAACAGAGAAACCATCTAAGAGGAACTATCAACCAAATTGATAAAGAATACTGATCACAAGTGCAACAAAGTATTAAGTTCAGAAAATTCACAAGATTTATAGATCATTTCAAGAGAGAATTAACTCAATGAAGATGTAACTGAGACAAAGCAGAAGAAGAATTTCACTTACTGAAGATCATCTTCTTGACATCACTAGCTCTACGAGCCGCCTCAAGTTTTTGCTCAAAAGACCCGGGTTTATAGACCCTACTGCCAGTTGAGTGGCTTGTGTCTTGGAATAATCTCTGGTTAGGTTGACAATCATCCACTTCACTTTGAGTAGTTAATTTCAGAAAAAAGGTGCCATCAGGCCAGAGAACCTGACAAGGAAATAAATTATTAGAAGAACAAAACATTTGCAATGATTCTTTACCTACTCTTTTTCTCTTCTTTCTAGAATTGACTGCATTAAAGCTTTGCCATTAACAGAAAATTTACGAAAGAAAAAAAAAAAATGAGTTCATGAAAACCTTGTAGCACATTTATTAAAATAGTAAAAGTTCAGATCTAATACATGAGATTAATTAGATCAATATTTTTTTTTATTTTTGATAAGTAAAAATGTATTAGAAGGCGTTCAAAAGGGGAATGCATCCCAAGAGCTGTACAAGAGCCACGATCAAAAACCAAAAAAGCCTAGGGATCCAAAGACCCCAAAAAATCCAAAAACTCCTCAACGGAAGAACAATCTCTCCCCATGCCCCAACTAAAAAGAGAACAAATAATAGAATACTTAAGAGCCCTAATGGGTAATTCCTCCCCAGCAAAGGATCTTCTATTGTGCTCTTTCCATAGAAATTATTAGATCAATATTAAAACACAAGAAATTATTATGTGGGGTAAACTATGTCTTTTATAGATCTCCTTAATCTGATGTGACTGTTAACAGTATTAATCTACTTCACCACCAATAATGTGACCTAATAGATGTACATATTTCATCGATCTTTATCTCTCACTAATAGTTCATTCAATTGGTAAGCATCAAGGTACTATGAGCAAATTGAGTAAAATGTGAAAGTCAAACACAGAAAATAATAAATATAATATCAAGAACAAAAGGCAATCCATCTTGAGAGAAGTAACAACCAGCAAGAAACATATACGTACAAACTTAATCAGATAAGATCATGCCTTTATTAATTTATTTATAATGATATATCAAATTCAATAATTTAAAGAAAGATGTTTCATGGTATCTTAATTTTTCAAACCATCACAATTATTTTTTAGGTCAATATATCTCTGTAAGATTACAAGATATTAATGCTCATAATTAGTTCTTAAAAACATTCAAGATTCCAAATCTTATAACCATTCTTCTCTACTTCTATATTAACATTGAAGATGACACACATTAACATCTTCAAAATTCAACTCTGCAGAAATAATTCCCAGGTTGAGCTACACTGGTGATGATAATGGATACCAAAACATGTCAACAAGATCTCCAGTGAGGATTCCTCAACATTTATCTCACATTAATTTGATCCATTTCGAAGTCCTTACTGCATCCTTGTATCAGCCTCAAAATGCAAAAACTCAGATAGGTGTCCTTATGTACGGAAAAGCAATAAGCGGTTTCAACTGAACCGAGCCTGAAGTTTGAGCAGACTGAGTCATGCATAGCCTGAACAAGGATAAAATTCCAACTACCTATTGATCATCCAGCCAATGCAGGATATGAAGGATAAATTTGGGTACAAATCTATTTTCCAATGTTATTTGAGTGACTACCTCTGATTTTGAATAGTTTAAATTTGGAAAGGAACTCTGTTATGGTCTTCAGTTTTTACCATCCCTTGAGGGAATCAATATAACATCAAAAGAAGAAGAGGAGACACCACTAGGCCACATGCCTTTATTAATGTTAATCTTGGTATTGTTAATTTTGCAATTGCAATGTAAATTTAGGCTGCCATCCACAGCCTTTGAATAAAATTAAGATAAGTAAGAATGGTTCGCTCCTTACATTTTGGACCCACCGAATCCCTTGAGCAATAATATCTTCCCTGCGGAGACACTGAATTTGCCTCAAGAGCCAGTCGTCAATGGCATCTTCCATCATTAACTGCAATATTTGTTTTGATATCCAAAACACCTGTCTTCTGCATTAACAAAAATGGCCACTCATTTGAGGCTAAATGGTTATCAAACGTATTACAACAAAATTGCAAGTGATAAAAAATTCATTCTGACCCATCAGTCTACAGTTTTCAAGTTGTGAAGGCTAAAAAGGAAAAGAATAGTATAATCACTAAACTATAGATGATTTTACAAACACAAGAACAACATTTTTTTCCCTTTTTTGGGGTATGTCACAACTAACACTTTTTGTGGTTAAAAGGAAGACATCCGCAAAGGAGGATGAGATATCTCATCCTGAATCAGTAAACCAGAGGAAAAAAAGTGGGAACTCGTGAACAACCCCATCAGAGGTGGTAGTTATGTTTTAAAACAATTGAATCGTGACATACAATGTAAGTTATATACAGGCTTCCCTTTTAGGTTTCCACGCTCCATTTTCCATTGGTTAATGAATTTCCCATTGGCTTAAAGCATAAATTGTATTTTTTCCCCCGGCAATGTACTCCTACAAAGCTGTTGGGGAGACTTGAATCCTTGATTTTTGCACTTTGAAAGGAGAGGAGGTGCCACTAGGCCACAGGCCTTGATGGTGCATAGCTTGTATTCTTATAGAGAGAAGAGAACACATGATATTGCCCAAAATAATCTACTTAACTTGGAAAATCAGGAGCTAAGAGTCCACACTCATTGAGGCACTATTGCAAATTGGGCAGCTTAACCCGAGCCTAACCTGATCTTTGGACAAGCTTGGGTTACTATTTTTGTTGCTCAGGTTGGGCAACCCAATCTCAAGAGTAACAATTTTCCTTTCTTTAATCAATTATCCATAAGAGACAACTTAGAGAAGAATCCTTGAAAAGTAAGGCAGCTTAATGAATGATTACGTATTCATGGAATTCTATTTGCTTGGACAAAGAATTTCTAACCAAAAGAAATTTGAACTGAAAGTTAAGGTGGAACTAGAAATGGATACATTCATCAGAATGTATTGATGAATGCATTTATCAGATAGACCCACAAACACCAAGTGTGCAGCAGCAATCACAGATGCATGCACACATTTATACACAGACGTGCACGTATATGATAACTTGTTATCAAATTTCCAAATCCCCAAATAATTTCTTTCTCCCAATCCTCCTACAATGGTTCTCACAAAGAGGTTAATATATACATGTTTCTACTGCCAGAACCACTTCTGTTTCCTATAACATTAGAGAATCAAAATTTAAAATGTGGCTCTCAAATGTTCTCAAATGGAATCAAGATTCAAAACAAACAAGAATCTCATGCAATGAATAAATAAACGCCATAGCATCACTTCAGCAATCTGATTGCATGCACTATCACAGTTCCCAAGCAATCTTTACTTTCAAATTATAAAGAGAACATGCAACTAATTTTGAAGGGAAAGCTAGCCCACCTTAGCCAGCCTCTTCTCTTAAGCTGAAACATCTTATCAACTAAATTCAACACAGGTACGCTTAACTTTGGTGGTGTCCACTGCAAGGAAATCATCACCAAACAAATTATTAGGCATAACCAAGAATATGGGCATTCCAGAAATGAAAAACAATTAAAAGAATATACTCTTCAATCAAAGAGGTGATCATGATTGCTGGGTCCTTTCTTAACCTATGATCCCACCCTGAATAAATCCAACTGCTTCTTATGAAAGTTTCGTAGTTATTCATGCAATTTAACACATTAAAGTTGGAATAATTCTAGCAAGTCCTATTAATTCTAGTCGGTTTTTATTTGTCAGTTTAAATCATTGCCCAAGTTTGGTTCCAACATTTTGAAATCAGCTAAATTGTCTAAAGTGTTTCTTGCTTCTTGGGTGTTACATTTTTTTACATCATTTTCTTCTATATTCATTCAGTTGACCCCTAAGTCTTTTCAGACGTATTAACAATATAATTGGTCCTACTTAATGCAGCTGAAGGTCACAGTGCATGTGAAACACTCAACTAGCATTCACTTATTGTATCACTACCAGGGCTTTTCCCAAATTTTATAAGTCATAAGCCTATTTCTTCTACTGCCATTATCATCTTGCCTCTTGTCAATTTTTACATCTCCAAATTATCAATGCTTAAGTTAAATATGTTGTCTAACAAATGCCCAAACATTTCTCTCCAGAAAGCAAGTTGACTGCATCCAGATAGAAATGGGTTTGTCTTGATCAGTATCCACTACTCATGTAAAACTACTGAAGTGTACCTACATTTTAAGACAAAAGATGACACCTTGAGGAGGAGATCTTAGGTATAGATGGAAGGTTCTAAAAGGAAAATTGACTGACCAAAAAGATAAAAACTGAAGTAAAAAGGAAAAGGTCTAAAATATATGGCTGAATGAGAAGGTAGAACACTATATACGGGATGGTTCATATGTCGATGATGAGCAAGATAACTCTTGGCTAGGACATTTCTTTTAATACTGTGACCAATTCTATGAAACCAAGCTGCAAACCAGTAAGCAGCTGAGTTCCAGATATGCAGGATAAAACTCGTAAAACAGTGAAGAAGAAAAGAAAAAAAACAACATCAGCTCAGATAGATTTGTGAAAATAATCCATGCACCTCCACAATCAAGAAAAGTCAAATGGGGAAAAAAAATGCACCCTGCTGAATGCACAATACCTCTGGTGGAACTTCAACCGGATCCTCCAGGCGATCAGAGGTGACCAGGGAACTTGCCAACTCGCCCAGGCAGATTGATTTGGATATCATCTCTGATTTATGTTCCTTCTCGGAATTTAAAATTCTCAAATCTACACCGCGTTTAACCACCCGAGGAGGGAACCCCCTCGAGTTCAACTCATTGTCGGAATGCCACCCATTAGCTTGTGCACTAGACCCTACTTCCTCATGGTCATGGGTCTCATTATTATCACCTTCCTCAAGGTCAGAAAAGCTTTTTGCTGATTCTGCGGAATTTTGCCATGAAACGTGTTTATTTGTCTCATCTGCATTAATTGACAGGTTCCTGTATGAAATTGAAGAAGCTGCCTCATACTGAGAGGAAGTTGAGCCAACGACTTTCCGCACTAAGCCATCTGAAACCCCTTTGAATTGACGTACTATATCATCCATAGCATCATCCACATTCACTGTTTAATTAGAACAAAAAATAATAATGAAAACAAAATTTTCTGAAAAAATAGCGAGGAAAAAAAAAAACACTAAGGTGCTGCTTGACAACTCAACTCAATTCATAATTCTGAATAAGTTAAATACTTATCTAATTATGTGCATTTTGTAACACAATTTAGATACAACTTAAAAGAATAAGATTCACTTAAAATTTTTAAGTGCATGGAACTCCACTTATCCCTAAGCACTGAAAATTGAAACGTATAAATAAAATTTATTTTATAATTAGCACTTAAAATTTTCAGTCCTAAATTTTCAATTTTATCAAATAGCACCTAAGTTATATTTTCACAATCAATAAACCAGATACATGATCAAAAAGTTACTGTTGGCATGATAAGAAGAGGATCTTTTACTGTTCCCACATAATGACAGCTTGTATTAACAAAGCTCCTCAATATATTAGTTTTCCAGAACTTTGGCAGTGGAAAAGTTTAGGTAATAGAATTTCTCCAACATGTAAGCTGAAGGTGTAAGCTACACAAAAAGTTCATCCATGCAACAACAACTAATCAAATATATATTTACCAGTCTACCAGCCTACTATAGGCCTCTGACAAAGAGAAAGACAAGTTGCATAAACTATTCGTTTTTAGCATTTATATTTACCAGCCTTCCAGGACTAACACGTGCTAACTTAAAGAAATCTAATCAAAGTTAACTGATGGAGGTTGTTTATTTTCAACTAGAGATTCAACCACAGTTAACAAATGTAATTACACATAGCAGTGCTTCTCTAATTCTAAATTTCTAATCCATTTAGGTAGTACTTAGAGGTACCCAAATTTATTTTCCAGTACCCACCACCTATTGTAATTTAGTATTGAGCAACAGGATAAAGTGTTCAACGAAGGATATTAATTGATTAATTTTTTATAACACCAACCATAAACATAAATTCAAAGTATAAAAATAGAAATCTAGGAATCTTGTAACCAAGAAGAAAAGCCAGGTACCTGCTAGAGTTCTCATCACCGAGGAAGATTTTCCAAACGAGTAGTTCTTCATAAACAAAAAACAATAGTTAGTGGAAAGAGGAAAAGTTATGTGCAGACATTTAATTGAATGACAAAATGAAAATTACACAAAAATGCATACCTTTGAGGAATCACTCAAAAAATCCCACACTTCATGTTGTTCAGCAACGTTAGCTATTGACAAGAGATCCTGGCAAAAACAGCATAATTAAAGTTGCTGAGCAGGGTTGAACTATATTGGATATGTTAACATAAATTAATTAAGACACATTAAAGAATATAAAATTAAAGTAACAGAAAATGGAGACACATTAATAAAAAAATTGCCAAGCATGGGCTGAACTATACTTGCAGATATTTGTCAAGCTGAATGCAGCGCTGATGAACAAAAGCATCCTCTGTGCTCGAGGAGAATATCCTTTTGGGTGGCAAGTGTAATGTATAATTAGGAATTTCCTTAAGATGTCGATGCAACCTCTCAAAATTCCTGTACCTGTTGATAGGGATTTGGAGAGAGAGAGAGAGAGGGGAAAAAAAAAAGAAGAAGAAGAAAGGAAACAAAGAAGAAAAAGTCAACTGAAGATTTCAAGAGACAGATTGAAAGATGCTGGTAGAAAATGCATCAGGAACTTCTTTTAGTGCAATGATAAAATTTAAACAGCTAGGTCAATAAACATAGAAACATGTGCATCAATGACCCAGAATTTTGATCGCTATAGAAATTGAGATGAGAACGAGACCTTCTTTTCACAAACCAAGTGTTTTTATCTGCATCTGTCACTGCAATTGAATAAACTGCAAAAGATTTTGACCCAAGTTTCTCAAAGTATGCTCCTATAACCTGCAGGAAATTGTTAGCATCAAAGGCTGGTTGCAATATGCAATAGAAGAATTAACTTAAACTCAAGGCAAGCATTTAAGATCATAAATTATAAAGAATGTAGCTCACAAAGCTTCTTTGACTTTCCTACAATTAAAATCTCTTCACAGTTTGCTAAAATATTATACCCCGTGAGTACTTTTTATCCTACAAAACAGGCTTACCCGGCACCTAAGCTTTGGGCCATGTAATCCGTCATCACAGGACACCATATTCGTAGCACTTGTAATGCTATGCACTCGTCTGTCAAAATCTGGGCTGTAGAACTCTGTGATAATGGATCCACCACCATCACCTGTGACTGCTTTATCCATATTAGGTTCAACTTTTAAAGCAGAAGTGCTATTTGATCTTTTAAGCCTTCCATTAGCAGTGAGAGAAGTGAAATCCTCCAATTTATCATCAAGACACCCCCTCTCGGAAGATGGATTCTTGTTCAGATTCTGAGACACATGTGCCCCATCATAGTTCCCATCACTTTGTTGAGAAACTGGGCGCGACCTTGGTGGTAACTGCAACAGAGCTTTATCTTCCATTCCAGTAAGAATTTCAGGCCTGTGCATTGACACTTCTTTACCCGAACTTTTTGTAGGTATTGCCTTGTTTATTTCTGAGCCTTTTGTAAAAGGTGCCTGAAGTCCTGCTTTAGCATTCTTCTGAGCCTTCTTTTTATAGTTTCTTCCTTTGGTCCACAAGTTCTCGAGGTTTTCAGGCATAAGAACTTCTGTTCTTCTCTGGGTTGCTGCATCCAGCACTCGTGCCCAGTCAGCTGCCCGTGGCTGCGCAAGTTCTTCACAAACTGTATTAGAAAAGGAATTTCCTGAAGCATTGAAGGTTGTATCTCTCTGATTTTCTGTTCTAGACAACATCGTATCAGTGCCTTGATTGTAGGAAGATGCGTTTTTCCTCGAAGTAGATTCACCATTTTCTACACCATATGCAGCAACAGCACGGTCATGTTTATGATCCATTAAATTAGGTGACTGATAATCACCTACATCTTTACTCTCATCATCTTTATTAGCAAGGAAAATGTATTCAATCAACTCGTTAATGTACCTGAGAACAAAGAAATCGTTTGATAAAAAATTGAATTTTTAAATGAAGGGAAAATGCAAAGACTACTGTGTGTTTCACACAATTAATTGCATGTCCGAGTTGAAGTAATTATGGATGTGAGCCCACTAAAGCACACCCACAAATTAAAAGGCCATTATTCAGTGTGGTCCCATTAATTGAGGGTGCTGAAAGGACAGACTGACAACACACTTGGAATAATTTCCACAAAGTGGCTGCAGTAAACCTGAGTTCTCACGCTTGACAACCTGAGGTTTTATCACTGTACCCAAATAAAAACCCCCAAGTTGTAGAGAAAAAAAAAACCCTAAGTTGGAGAGAACTTTATCAAGAAACTCTTATTTTTTGTAACTTTCTTCAGAAACAAAATAATTACAAATGTGATAGGTAGTGTAGTAAAATGCTGATGCAAACAAAAAATAGAAACACACAACATTACCACACGACATAAGATGTACTCTGAAGACAAGGATATCATCAAAGTCATGACTTGCAATAAACACAAAAGCTCAAATTTATTTGACATTTCCGGCACACACACACACACATATATATATATATATTCAAACACGAATCTATTCGGGCATGTAATTAGACAGCACCACTTATGAAATTAACAATCGAAAGCACCATCATTAAAATTTTAAATTCTAAGTTAATAACACAATAAATAAATCAAATTTCAAAGAAAAATTACAACCTACATAATAAAAAATCATGTATATTGTTATATTGATGAACCTCATGCAACCTTATTCTAAAAGTGTAAACAATATTATTTACCGAAAAATTTGTAAATCTATCTTCAAAAGGAAAAGGAAAGGAGCTACTTAACAATCAATGTTACAAAGGAAATCTGTATGTTGTGTATGTCACCCAAACTATGCCTAGCTATTTTCAGACACATATACGTATAGAGGATGCAAGTGGGGCGTGCACATAAACTATTTGTTAAATATGCTTTTATGTTAACTTTTAAAATTTTAAAAAGAAAAGAAAATTAAAAATACATAGCATTCTTTTTTCGAATAAACACGGTATTTTTCCATGTTCATTTTTCCATCTTTTTTGTTGGTAATTTTTCAAGTACAAAGAGAAAATAACATCACCATTAATTTCAACTACTTTAGTAATCTTTTTTTTTTTTCTTTTTTTTTTTGATAAGTAACTTCTTTAGTAATCTATATAGAACGATCTTCTCCTATCGACTCTTTGTGAAGCCAAATCCTATATACAATCCAAGGACCAAGGACAACACATCCTTTCTAAGAGAAACTACATAAACCCCAACAGGGTACATAGACTCACATTCTGGTCAGATTATTTCAAGTCCATTCTTATATTTGAATCGGATGCAATCACTCCATAAAAAGGTGCATTAGGTCCATGTTGCATTGAGCCAAATCAACTGAGATGATTTTTTCTTGTTTTTATCTCCATGGCACTTCTAACTTCCATGAATATTTTCTCTCTTATTATAAGATCTTTTTTTATGACTTCCACTTATTCATGATGTACTGTACTTGTGTTAAACAACAATCACATATACTTGTTATGGAATCTATGTCCTTGAAGATTGTTGATTAAAAAATGAAGCTTGAGTCTGCTTGACAATTAAATCATTTATGACCAAAGGAAGAACAACGAAGATTTGATTTCTTTTTGCTACCTTACCAAAACTTAGGGCCTGTTTAGTAACAGGAATGATTCCTGATTTTTACTGTTAATTCCTAAAATTGAGAAGTAAAATTAAAAATCATGTTTGATAAAGTAATTTTACTTTTTTACTTCAAAAAAGTAATTTCTCTTTTAATGAAGAAAAGAGAAAGTGACAATTTGATACTTTCTTTATTTTTTCCACTGTAGACGGGAATTACTTTCCCCACTGTTATCCCACCAAAATTACTATACTACCCCTCTTTCTTCCTCTAACCCATCATCCTCTCCTATCACCAAGACCACACCACAACCACTGCAAGTTTGGAATCGGCCGATTAGTGACCGGCGATGGCAGGGACACCAGCTCCTCTCTCTTCTTCTCTCTACCACCACAAACCGCCGCCGATCATCCATTGAAGACTGAAACCTCTTCCTCCTTCTACTGTTGACCCATCATCTCATCACCCCGATTTCTTCCAATTGCAGACAACTATGACTCAATTTCTTCCAATTTCAGACAACTATGCCTCAATTTCATCGGATCGCTGGACTGATGTAGGATTTGGATTGACGATTTCCTCTATCAAACTCATCTATTTCTCTCTTTTCAACCACACCAACTACTACTTGATTCCGGCGGCGTCGTCGTTGCCGGAGAAGAAGAGAGGCCACAACTTTAGGACAAGAGATTATTCAACCAGGAGAAGGTGACGGACGACCAAAAATTGATGATAATTACATTGTCTACAACAAGGGTCTGTTTACAGAGCCTACCTTTTCTACTATGTGCATGCCAAAGAATCGAGATGACATTGATATGTATGGAGGAACAGACCTTTTCTACTCTGTGCATGCCAAAGAATCGAGATGACATTGATATGTATGGAGGAACAGATGAGCTCTTTAATCTTTATCAGGTTCTTCTTTGGAGTCATAGTTTCATGCCCTCACTTTTTCTATACTTATGTTGATAAATTTTTGCTTGCTTAGTTCGCCATTGAGGAAGCCAAACAATTATCATCAAACCCAGATACCCTTTTTAGAGAGAGAATGATGACCACGAAAACAAAAATAAATTTATAATTTATTGAACTAACTTTCTATTTTTTTGCTTTCAAAATATTGAAAGTAGAAAAAATTATTGAACATAATTTATTCTTTATTTCACTTCAAGGAATCAAAATTATGATTTTGCTTTTAGAGAAAGTAAAAATAAGAAGGTGAAAGTGTTAGTAAACGGGCCCTTAAAGAAGCGTAAGGTCGAGAATTCCGAGTCTTGAGTGGAACCTATTTTAAATGCCCAAGTAAATTGGATGGGAAGACCTTTTGAAAGAAGAAGATTAAGGAGGTGTCAACACTCCTCAGGGTAAGATACTATTCTGATTGCCTAAAAGGGCACTATGTAGTGCTGGTCCAAGCTAGAGAGGTTGTTTGGGTAGGAAGGCTGGAAACAGACACAACCTTTGATGTTATTTTATAGTATACAACGTCACTACTTTCAGACTCGATACATGATATAAATGGTGAAAGAGTATAAAAACCAAGCCTAGATTAATTGTAATAATTTCTAACTACCACACATACACGCTAGCTAATAGGAGGAGGCAGAGAGAAACAAGTTGGAAGAATTCCGGGTTTTATTTACTTTGGTTTCTTTTAATCATGTTGTTCTTCATCTATTTGTTTTATTCTTCTTTCATCATGTGTAACTAAACTCCCAACTAAGGTTGAGGAGGAAACCTCCATTAATGAAGTAAAGCTCTTATATTCAATGATCGATTCCCATGTGTATGGTTTTAATGTTTATAATTTTCGCTTCTTATGATTAGTTGTTTTATGTTTCTTCCACCATTTATATCATGTATGTGTAGTAGTTAAAAATTATTACAATTACTCTAAGCTTGGTTTTTATACTCTTAAAAAGTAATAATCTTTGATCCTATATTTTTCATTAAGTTAAATACATAGGATGCTTAGAATTTTAAAACTTTTAAGCGAAGGAAAATCTAGTTTTGAATATATCTTACTTGAGTTTTAATGATAAAATATTTCGAAAACAATGGAGTGACTTCCGAATTGTTTTTATTACTTAGGGAATTGATTAATTGATGATTGAGACTTTATGGATTTAATGGTTGGCGGAATCCGATGCTCTAGTGTTTTCTCTCTATTGATTTCAATCTTTATTTTTATTTTAATCTTGCATGTTCACTATAATTTTCACTCTGCAATCAAATTGGGTAACTAGGTTAGTTTTAATTTAATTCGAATTTGTATTAGTTTTTCTTCAAAGCATTCCCTTGGGTTCAACCTCGTTCTTGCCTATCTATTTCCAATAGATTCGTGCACTTGCGAGTTATACTTTAAAGTCAACATCAAGTTTGTGGCGCCCTTGCGGGGAGTGCAACAAGAAACTAATCGAATTTAAGTTAATTTAATTCTTCTACTAGTTGTAGTTTAGGTTTATTATTATTTAAAAATATATATATTTGCTTTGCTGTTCTTCAATTATAACAATCTATTATTTTATTTTATTTTCTGTTCTTTTATATTTTATTTTATTTTTTGCCCTCTTTCTTCTCTGTTGCAGGTAGCAGTAGTAAATGTTCCAACACCAGCCAACACCGCCACACCAGTCCGGTAATCCAGACAGCCCGCCAAACCAATCAACCACCAACAGAGTTACCAAAACATCAACCATGCTTTCACCACCACAACCCACTGGTGCAAAACCCTGTCCACCCAAAACCTCCATCATCATCACCTGTCACAAAGCCAAATCCCAATTGAAAAAAAAAAAACCTAGTAGAGAACCCAAATCCCAACCGGAAGTTCAGCACAACCACCACCTAAAGCCATCGGCAACCAAACACAATACCCATAACCCCAGTTGCCACCCAAGAATCTACAAACCCAATCACAGAACTCCCTGGCTGTCATTTGTTTTCCTCCTTGGTCGCTAGGGCTTTTTTGGAGCTTAAGCGCGCCTTTAACAACTCAGGATTGGTTCATACTTCATAAGAGGATTAAGTGGAGTTCTCACTTTATTCCTCCTCCTCTAAGCATGTTCATCCCAATCACCACTCTTCAAAGGATCTATTTGCCATTGTACGTTGTCTCTTTTCATCTCTTAACTCTCATATCACTAATCTTGTCATCTGTTGCTCTAGTGGGTTTTCTTTAACATCTAACATCAGAAGAAATCTTATTGACTAGACTCTGGTAATAGCCTATTTCCTTAATTACCTAAAAAAGTTTGTTCTTTTCATCCTATTATAGAATTTGGTCTCTTGACACATTGGGCTCCTTATTTTCCGAAAAAAAAAAAAAAAAGAATTGTTTGCACTCAAGAGGATTCAAACCTTAGACGTGATGGTTCCTGAGGCACCAAAGCCAAGTTCTTACCCACTTGACCCCTTGGGATTAACACTTTGGGCTCCTTCCCTTGTAAGTTCTTTACTAAATTTATTTGTACTTCGTGGTCATACTTGTTTTCTCCCATAGGATACATAGATCCGGAGAACAGGGGCTCCTAAGATAGAATCCAGTTCGTGCAATTTCTTCAATTTGGCTAATAGCTCCTCATATATTTTCCACTTTGATATGACTTCTGTCAATTTCTTCACTGGCTTCTCCAATAATGGATAATGTAGTAAGCTAATTGCAGAAGTTATAATGCTCAAGAACCTTTTGTCAAATTTCTCTTTTATTCATATAATGATATTATACGTTAGTAATTATACTAAGTCTTCTAACTATATCACATGTGAGCGAATGTACTAAGAACTTGAGAGAGGATTCATTATCACCATCATCCTTGCGGCCTTGCCTTAATCCCATATAAATGGGCCGGCCACATGAATTCTGTTTTTCCATTATTTTCTATTACAAACCATCTTTCCTATAATATTTAATTTTTTAAACTCATTTTAATAATATCATTCAATGGTAATTTCAGTCGCCCTCTTTGTCTCTTGCCCTCTATACAAAGTACAAATTAGTATTCCTCTTCTTAACAATGCATTTATAGACCTTCAAAAAAATATGTCTATACCACTTAAGTCTACTTTCTCTTATTTTATCACCAATATGTGCCAATCATTATTCTCCCTTATATAATCTGATTAGTAGCCCTATCTATTCTAGCTACTTTTACCATTCATCTTAACATCTTCATTTTAGCTACGTGAATTCATTGTTCTTCAGCACCATATAAAATAGCTGGTTTAACAACTATTTGATCCTCTACTAATTATATAACCATCTATCTCACCTTCCTTTTGCATTATTGACCCTAAATATCGAAAATGGTTATAATTGGATAATCCTTTAATTTTGAAGCTTGATCATCATATTATCAGTATTCAACTCAATATTAAATTAACATTGAATATATTTAGTTTTAGTCCTAATTTTTAAACCTTTTGATTCTAATGCATTTCTCCTCATTTCTAATTTTATTATTAAGTTTCCTTTAGAAGTATCTAAAAGCACTAAGAGATGATTATAAAAAATATATATCTTGATAGAGGATCAATTATTTAGTAAAATAAACAAATCAAAAGGTACACGAAGAGGGCGCACAACCCATTTGAAAATAAGATGTACAAAGCAAAACAGAATAGAAAATTCATGCCATGACTACCAAAGGTCAATCCAAGCACTTGCAAGTAAAACATTCTCCCTTTTCAATTAATTTAACTAACAATTCCAATCACATTAATGGTCTTGTGCCATAAATGATAAAATTTTCTAATTAAATATTGTATTGTATACAACATTTTGCAAATGAAATACAAGCCAATGATTAATAATATAACAATAAAATTATAACTCACCCAGGGCTTGCAAAATTCATAACTGGTTGCATCACCAAGCAAGTTACAAGCTCTCGTGCAATGCATCGAACAAGGGGGCACTGGGATTCTCGTGGTCTTAGCACTGTAGCTATCATTCCACCAATAAGCTGCTGAAGAACCTATAAAATAAAAGTATTAGTTGGCAATCAAAAAATTAAAATCCAAGAGTCATAAAAATCTCATCAGGACACTCCACTCACACCTTGTACTCACACTCTGGAGATATCAATGCAGGGTGAAGCTCCTTAGAATCCATAAGATGATGTTTCAATCTTTCATCCCTCTCTTCTGACGACAGGGTTCCCATAACGTCCACACCAATAGCAGCTTGGTTTCTTCTGAAAAGGTCTAGATGATCGCCTACTAAGTCAACTATATCCCTGAAAGATTGAACAATTAATGCTTCTGTCATCAAGTACTCAAAGAATTAAGAAAGGTTCTCAACAAAGATGTTCATTCTCTTATTAAAAATCTACCTTGTCAACAAGTCAACAAGGTTTATCTCTTTGATTCTTCCAGATATTTCACCAAGAACATCCATTATTATTGCATGTATTAGCTCAGGGGCCTCCTTGTCGGGTGTGATATCTGAATACCACAAATCTACCACAAAATCTTTCAAAAGCTTGTTAATAAACTCCTCCATTGCAGCCTCAACAAGAGGAGAGTCAATTTTCCTCTTCCATTTTGGCGGGGGTGGCATTGTAGAAAGACGAGAGTCATTCACAGACAATTGCTTCTTCTCTAAATGTGACAAATATGTTTGTTTATGAACTTTCCGGACCTTCCAACGGAACTCCACCTCATTAAGTAAAATCCGCAATGCAGAAACCAAGAGGATTGATATAGGAATATTCATCCACATTGATTTACTTGTGTCTGCAATTAATATCAAAATTTAGAAACACAAAGATGATAAATAACACTGGAACAACTGAGACAGGCTCAATATGAACTCCATTAACATCTCATTGCAATGAAGCCAAAAAAAAAGGAAGAAGAGAGACCAAACAAGACCAACCTCCAACCCAACCCTTAAAAAAAAGATTTAATGTTCAAGTGAGCAATTCTCAAGGCAGCCATAGTTAAGAGATTGAGTTGTTTCCGCTTTTCACCTGCAACTGGTTGCTATTACGACAAGAACTTGATATAGATTATTACCCATTTTTTAACAGCTTAAACTATTAAAAAAGTTGGTCAGTGGCATGATAAGGTATAGGACTCCAATCTCACCGTCTCCCTGGTGATTATAATTGGTGAACATGTTAGCCCAAACATAATGGAGAGTCTGACCGCAAACGAAAATATAATACAGGGCATAAATATTTAACTTATCGCCTTTCCAATATCTTAGACTTATGCAGAAAGTGGTTGTCTATCATGATAAGGGGCCTTGGGTCAAGTTCAACTCTCGTGGTTTGCTCAAGTTTGTACTCTTTTTTGAAGTCATGGACATTCAACGTTTGGGTAACAAAAACCAACAAATTGCAGTGAATTAAGCCTGATGCAGCTAATTCGGGTCCAAAATTTTCATTTTAAGAGACTAAAAAATTAAATATTTTAAAGTCTTCCTTTTCGTCAATTTTTCCAGGCAACCAAACACAGGGCTGCGTACTGCAATTTTTTTGACTTCAACATCCAAATCAAAACAGAATCATACATAGCAGAACGCAAATTTAACAATTCTATAATTCAGACAACAACAAATCATCCTGAAATCGGATTTAAGATTTCCAAAGAGGAACTCTGAACTGTACTATGAAAACGAAACCCACTAAATTGACTTGGATAAAATTGAATAACTTACTTGTCAAGAAGTAAGATATCGCGAAGATACAAAGAGCCCACCAAACTGTTCGAACCTTTGCTTCTTCGATTAGATCTTGCAAGGTCTCCATTGCCTTCATTGCATCAAAAGAAACCCTAAATCTTATGCGCTTTGAATTCAAAGAAAAATCGGTGTTCCGATCAAACCCTCAGTTTCAAACCCTTGGAAATCCGTATCGATCGTTTTTACAGGAAGAACCTTAATAAGACCTAAAAGAGCCACGATTTGTGTGTCTGTTTGTTTGGTGGGAAATATAGACCTAATCAGCAAGTAACCAGGAGTTTCATTTCTTTCTCCTGCGCTGTTTTCTTGTTCTTTCTGGTTCTCTCTCTAGAGTTGGTCCTCTTTCTTGGGTGAGAGAGGTACACACATGAAAAAACGTGGGAAGGAAAGATAAAAATCGTCGTTACTCGTCGTAAATTAGAGAATTACCGAGGTCGGATGACGTAAATGCCCTTTGTTTGACTTGTAAACACTTCTTATCAAAAAATAATAAAAAAAAAAAAAAAAAAAAAAAGAGAATGAGAAGGCCGTTATAAATTAATTTTTTTATAATGTCAGCAAAAAAAAATATTATGTCTGATTTTTTTATTTTTTTTTTCTAAAATATTATGTCTGATTACATGAGGAGAAAAACTATGCGTGTCAAAAACGAAAAATGTAAGGGGTTCTACTAAAAATATACAAACCTTGTCTAACCTAGGTATAGACCGACCTCAAAAACTCAAAATGATGTAGGACAGTTTTAGTAGGGTTCTATTATTATTATTATTTTTATTTTTATTTTTAGGAAATTTAATTTTAGTTTTTTAATTTCCTTCCACAATTAGTTTTTTTATATTTTTAGGCAATTAGTTTTTTTTGCTATATTAGTTTCCTTTAGAGTTTTAGGCCTTTATTTATTAAAAAAATATGTAGTGCGATTGTAGAAATATTTAATCAATTTTATCAATAATATTTTAAAATTATTTATAATTTCTTCTAATTTGTTGATTCAAACTACCTATTTTGTGAATTTAAGATAACTCTCGCTTCTTTAATCACTCCCGCTTACGGAAATTGGTTTCAAAGCTTCTCCAAAGAATCCACAAAATAGTCAGTTTGAATCCATAAAATATAATAAATTTTAAAGAATTCTAAAATATTATTGATAAATTGATTGAATATTTCTGTTATCGCAGTACATGTTCTTATAATAAATAAAATATATATATATAAACCTGTTAAAACTGTCCTACATCAATCACCTCTACATAAATAAAAAAATTCGTGCTCTAGTTTTTAAAAATAACTAATCATACAAAAAGTAAGAATAAATTTTGATTTTTCGCTATGCAGCATTGATGCACGCATTACCCATTCAAATGGGATGCTTTTGTACATATCCAACACTAACTCCCGTCCACCAGATCATCACATATAAACAATGCAAAGTCATTCAAATCTTTTGTTACAGAATTGTTCAAGAGATCATCCATAACATGAACTTGAAAGGCCACTTTCTTAAGCAAAGGTAAGAAAGATGATGGGTCATTCAGAGTATTTCATGAATACATGCCCACTTTGGTGTTGGATAATGAGATTTGCTGTTCCACATGAATGGAAGTCAAATTGATACGTTTTGGAAAACAGCAATCACTTGACTTTGCATTATTAGCAGGGTCGGGGACATTATTACGCGTTTGTAAAAGCTTCACTAAAATCAAATTATTTTATCTCCTCTAGAATGAATGAAATTTCACTATTTACCTCGCTAACTTGAATCTTAAACTCTTCCACATTGTATTGAATAATCAACTTGGTTTGATCTTCTTCGATTTGATTTGTCTCTAACCCCGTCAAACTATTAGTTATGTCTTCCATGCCTCTCTCTCTGTCAAACCGTCTTAAACTATAACATGGTCACATCCATTCTCTTTTTTGGCTGAGTTAAATTTCTTAACTTTATCATCTTTAATTACAAGAGGTGAAACAATAGAATTTTGCTTACCGTCAACTTCTTGAGAATTACCATTTGCTTCTACAAAATTTTTGTTATTTTTCTTCTTGTAATTGTTGACACGAGAATACTTCGCATTGGCCGGAAGTCTACCTAGAGGTACAGGAACGGGGCGAACTTGAACTACTTCACTATCCTGGTTACCACCAATCCCAAGTTCAACGAGTCTCTGTTAGATTTGCAGTACTATACTTTACATCGGATTCAATTGTTGTTCTCGAACATTAATAGTTGTCCAAAGAGTCTGCACTCCCCGATTAACGTTGCGAGAGTGATTGCTGTCAATCATTAGCCTAGAATAAATCAGATAAAAATAATATAAACTTACTAAAGCTGTCCTGCATACCCCAAAAAAAAAAAAAAAAAAAAATTACCTACTCCGTAATATCTTTCTATCAATTATTTTTCTTTTTTCTATTGTTTTTCATGCAGTGTGAAGGATTGGGATGTAATTCTAACAATGCATCTATTTTGCACTTAAGAGATGACTTTTCTTTAGTCACGTGAATTTAAAAGGATATGATGGATTTAGAGGTTGGATTTTGTTGACAAAGTACGGCCTCACATAGTCATCATATGGAAAGAGGACTCATTAAGTTTCTCTATTAAACTTTAAAAGTATCGTTTTATTGCTATTATTTCCAAAAACATCTTGATTTTTATTTATTTGGTGAATTGACTTTGAAAAACTTGAAGAAAAAAAAAAAACTTTATATAGTTTAAGATCCCTTTAAAATGTAATTTATCTTTCTTTCAATATAAATTTTGACATTATTTATAAGACTCTTTTACTCCCTTCATGAAGTCACCCATTATGCCATTCTATTCAAAATTTATAGGGCTAAGTTGAGCCTCTTTCTATTAAAGAATATATATATATATATATTTCAATATTTCACTCTATACACAAAATTAAATTTAATAAAAGTGACTGTTTGTTCCTCCATACTTCAACATTGTGTTGATATGGCAGCCTCTTAACATTGAAATAAATTTAGATGCATATTCAACTCTTCAATTGCTACTTTATAAATAGAAATCTAATGGATAAATCTTAAATATGATCATACATGTAAGAATCAATTTTTTAATTTTTTTTAAATGGTAAGTTATAATTTAAAATGTGCTCCAAGGTCATAACATGTCATTTTCCAAAGTCAAGCCGCCTAAATAAAAGTCAATTTCTATACTAACAAGATTATTATTACATTTGTATGAAATTTCAACGCACCCATACTTCTATCAAGGTCAATTTACCTTTATTTTTCAGCATCTCAAAAGTGTGAAGAATAAATATTTATACAAAAAATTATAGAGATTATTAACACTATATAATTATAGTAACGCATTAACCATCAAAGGAGCCTCCTTTAAAGTTTTTTCCTTGGCCCTCAAATTGTACTGAGTTTATCTTTGTGTTTTAGGTTAAACAAGGGCTAGAGGGCATGAATGAAGGCGACTCTTTATTGGGGGCTACAAGTGTTATTTGTTTATTTAGCACCTTGTACCCTAATATTTTATTTCTAACAGATTTGTTGATCAAATGACAAATTTACAATCCCCATCTCTATAATGTAATATAACATACTGATATAATATAAATGTGCGATCGGCAAATAAATTTAGGGGGAGGTTAAAATAATAAGCACCTGAACAATCTATTTGTGTATACTTTATTTAAACTTATAATTCGTCCATTTTCTTATTACAGCATTACATATGGTGATGTAATATTATAGTTTGATTGTATTTTGCATTTTCAATGCGATGCTATGTAATATTTGATGACAAATTTAATATATATTTGTAACGGTGGTGTACGTGTTATCATGCAATGTTATGTTAGAACAATTTCATTGTAAGGTCATGAGCTTGAAATGAAAAACATTATTTTTTAAAGAAAATGGTGAGATTGAAATTGCAAGTTTGCTAGATTTGTAACTCTGAAAATAATTATTCAAAATTTTAGAACAAATAAAATTATTTTTAAAAATTTATAAAGGGTGAAGTGCAAAAAAAAAAACCCTAATATATACTTTTGGTAGCACTTTACATCCCTATTTTAAATTTTGTGCATAAAACACCCTTAATATTTTAACATTGTGCAGAAAGACCCATCAAAATACTTTTTCCATAAATTTAACATTGTAATGACCACTATGCCCTTTTACTCTTTCCAAAATGCCCATATCAAACCTTACACTTCCAAAAATATCCAGCTCCATTAATTCCAGCAAAGAACTACAGCAAGCTGTCCCGTGAGCTCCATTATTTCCAAGATGAGTTTGGAAGCGCAGCGGCAACCGTTAGTGTGTGGTCCAAAGTCCAAACCAGGCACTTGACACAACGAGCTTCTTTAACAAGAGACCAACAACGACTCTAAGCACTTCAATGACGACGATGCCTCCGATCTTCGCAACGACACGACAACGTACACTCTTACTTCCACTACCATCGCCACTACTGCTCAGTTTGCTCCCTGTTTTCGCTGTTGAGCTCATCGTAGTAGTGGGCAAAGGATATGCAACGACGAAATCCTGTTACGAGCCAGTCTTCACCGCTACTTCGCCACCGTTTAGAGTAGCGCATCCTCCAAACTCACTGTCATTTATGTAAGAACAAGGCCCACTATTGTTCATCACTGTTTTCGTCGTGGGTCTTGGCGAATGAATCAGTGTGGTGGTTTCGAATAATAGCGGATTGAATAGCCGAGCATGAACCGACAACAATTAATTGAGTCAAGACGAGACGACAACAATGAAAGGAGTAGTGGGACTAAACTTACTGGCGAGTCGCGGGACTGTATTTATCGGCGAGCATGGAGGACTTGTTTTTTCCGGCGAGAATGGACTTTTGACTGCGATCAACGGCGATGAAGCGGACGGAACCAGCGATGAAGCACTAAGCCTATCGAAACGACGGCAGCGAGCAGCAATTGTAATAGTTGCAACTCCAACGACGATGTAAGTTCAACAACAGTCAAAGATGAATCGGCAGCGGCAAGGATGAACGAATGACTGAATCAACAGTGCAATAAATGTCGACGGCGCCGAGGATGGTGATGATTGCGGCAACTTGTTCAATTCTTCAATTGAATTCAGTAATTGGGTTTTGGGAAATTGTTAATTTTTTTCTATTCACTTTGTTGGAGTTGAAGATGGTTTTGGTTTGGTTTTTTTATTTTTTATTTATTTTACTTCTGGTGAGTTGCTTTGGTTACCTTTTTAGTAAATTCACAAAATATTATTATTTTTACGTATTTTATAAAATTTATCAATAAGGGCATTTTAGTCCAATATTATCTTATATGTCTATGAAGGACCTATTTGCACAAATATCATAGTTTAGGGGTGTTTTTTTGCACGTGAGGGGTGTAATATA